AGGAGGCAGGAGCTCCTTCCAGGTTACACACGGGTGCAGAGTCCCAAAACTTGATATTATCCCAATCACTCACTAATACTCGAAACTATCAACTAGAGACATTCACAAGTATTCTCTTTTATTTCTTTTGCTTGAAAATCAGAATTAGAAAAAGCAGGGAAGACAGAGCAATCAGCCATCTACTAGTTCACTCCCCAAATGGTCATAATTGTTGGGGGCACTGACAATTTCCTGCCCAGTGATTGGCCCTTTGCCCTGATTGGTGTGACTTGGTGCTGATTGGACAGGTTTGACAGATAAGCGGGGGACTTGGCGGGGGGGAGGGGCTTCAGTGTAACGGACATAACGGTTTTTAATGGAAGATCGGAATAAAGCGCCTTGGAGACTCTCTCTCGAGTGTCGGGTGATTTCTTCCGCGGGACGGGAGACCCCGATACATAATGGCCAGAGCTGACCTGATCCATAGCTAGGAACCAGGAGCTTCTTCTGGGTCTTAAATGTTGGTGCAGGGACTGGCTCAGGCCATTGGCGGGAGCTCATGTACAAGTCGAGCTGGGACCAGAACTTAAGTCCATTTGTGGTAATAGTGTTGCAAATGAAGAACTAGCTTGATATCACAACGTTCCTCCCTACATCCCCCAGCAACCAGATGTTTTCATTAATAACCACCAGGGTACGGTGTGGCGCTTTCAATGTATGATCCATTTGTTTATTCTCAATATTATTATTTCTTTAGGTGTAACCATTTGTTCCCTTAGACTGGTTTCTTTCTGTGAAATTACTAATATTTTGGAACCAGAGCTCCAAGCTCATGCCAACATTTCTCCGTAGTTTTAACTTGCTGGGATTTTTCAAGCTTCAATGCAGAAGGATTTTGAATTCTGTCATAATAGTAATTTATTTTCTGAAATGTCAATGTCACCTAAGTTATCAGCTTGATTCATAATTCTTCGTTTCTTCTTGATTTGTCTATTGTTTCTGGGTCAACTTCATTTCCATCTAAATTTCTCTGTACTCTGCTTTTTATTCGTCACATCTTCAGAACGTGAAGAAAGGACTCTGGGAATGTTTTTGCACCCGTCCTTAACTGGGTCGAGGTTTTTCATCTAATTATTTCAGACAAGGCTGCCGTTCCCTCATTCAGAGAGTATATCACATAGGTCCTTTTGTTTCTAAAAGATATTCAGGCAGAAGGAAATGAGTAGCTGCAAAGAAAGCATCAGATAAAACACCACATCATTTCACAATTTTAGAGAACTTTTAAAAATTTGTATAAACACAGTAGACTTAACCCAATAAAGGTCTTTAAAAAAAGTCAAATTCTGACATACATGACAAAATGCATGAACTGAGGAAGTAAGCCAGACTCAGAAAAACAAACAGCACATGTTGTCTCTAACATCTTGAAGATCATATACAAGGAGAGGGCATTAAAAAACGGGAACAGCTTAGTACTTGGTATGTAATTATAAATATTGCCTTTGCTGAATTATACCACGTATATAAAATGAATGGAATTTAGTTAGAAATTCTGCTAAGTGTTGTTTCAACATATTGATTTTTTGGGGATGAGAAAAAGGTTCTTATAGAAAGATATAGTGATATAGTGAATAAGGACAGGAAATGAGTATCATATGCTTACAATGATACATGTATATGTATGCTTATGTAAAGAAATAATGAGACTTTACCATATCAAATTTGTTGACTTATTTATTTTTATTGAAAAGGCAGATGTACAGAGAGAAAGAAAGACAGAGAGGAAGACTTTCCATTGGCAGATTCATTCCCCAAGTGGCCACAAAGGACAGAGATGAGCTGATTTGCATCAGGAACCAGGAGATTCTTCCAGGTCTCCCACATGGCTGCAGGGTCCCAAGGCTTTGGGATGTCCTCAATGGCTTTCCTAAACCACAAGGGGCAGCTGGAAGGGATCCCATATGTGATCCCATTGCATACAAGGTGAAGACTTTAGCCAAGGCTACTGCACCAGACCCAAATATAGAATTTAAAAATACTCAATAACACCGGGAAAAAATATAAAAGCAACACACACATAAAGCAGGTTACACAAATGTGATGGCCTAGGATCACTAAGAATCCAAAGCAATTTATTCGAGACTTCCTATCTGATTGATAAATTAAAGGAATGTCACAGTACTTGCTATATACTTTTAAGCATGGAGCATGTGTCCAAGCCCTCCTCAGGTCCAACACACATGTCACATCAACCACGCTGGAGCTCAGCCTGCAAGAAGCTCCTGGCACTTGGGTGTACCCACGTCCTGCTAGGTCCCCAGGGTTGGCTCTGAATTGGTGCCAAGCAGCAGGGAGGAAAGAAGGAGCCATGTCCCAACTGAGAGAATGGATCAGGCTGGCCCCGAGCAAAGGCCCTGGAGACTCCCCACAAGCTTCTCGCCCATCCTTCCCTCTGGGAGAGAGATCTCCCCAAAGCTGCCGGCTCTCACAGGGCACTGCTGAGGAGACACGAGCCCCAACGTTTCCTCTGCCTTTGGACACACGCAGCCCTGACAGTGCGCTGTCTCAGCACAGCGCATAACCTGAGGTCTGCTCCCTGCGTGCAGCCGGCCAACACTCACTCGCATCTTCAAGAGCAAGCACGCTGGACGCCTCGTCCTTGGCTCCTGCCCTCCACAGGTTTTACTGGAGAGCTTCTGCTCTGAGGCTCCTAAACTCGGCATTCCTCTTTCCAACACATTCCAGCCCTGCCTTCTCCACCTCAGCAGCAAAGGATCAGGAACCCTCTCTCCAGCACAGCTGTGCCCTGGTGAACGTGAGCACGGCTACACAGGCTGGCTACACACATCACAGCTGTGGCACAGGCATGAAGACCACAGGACACAGACCTCTCTCGGCAGCACTGAGCTGGTTCCACAGGCAGCACTGCACACCCTGAAGAACACTTAGCAACAGCAACAGCATCCTCACCCTGGACCTCCGGGTAAGTAGAAGTACTAGGCTGGTACTTAGCAGGTGCCAGGAACTGCTGAGAGTCACAGAGAGGGATGTTGAGAGAATGAGGATGTTTGCATTGATCAGCCTGCAGAATCTAACATCTCAGGATCTGATGAACAAATACAGACAGAGGGATCGAGAGAGAGAAAGAGAGAGAGAGAGAGAGAGAGAGAGAAAACCTCCCCTCTGTGCATGCTTTGCCTGGAGCTGTGTGCATGCGCACAGGACCAGAGGGAGTAATTCTGATCAGGCTAGCTCAGTCCTCAGCTCTACCTCCTGAAGTCCTCTAGGGTGTGTGACATGTGCTGTGAGCATGTCCATGCAGGCACATTGGCGTAGTGCAGTAACCATCCACTCCCACATTGCATGAGATAACTGCATCAATCTCTGCTCTATATTCTTTGGAAATGCATCATTTAAAAATAATAGGCATAATCACATTTGCACATTATGAAATCATTTTTGGTACAGTAGACAGATATCTTTTTCAGTAAGACTGGTGCCGAGAAGAACAGAGATGAGAGACAGTGTTGCTGGGAAAGCTACACACTGGAGGAAAGTGTGTAGAGTGACTGATCAGTTATTGAATGCTTGTCAGTTCATGGGAAAGAGCTGGTGTCCAGGTAGAGGGTCAAGTGAGACAAGACAGCAGCTGAGGAGGGTGACAGAGAAGGCAGAAGGGAGCGATGAGGCCAGCATAATGCATCCACACCAATCTTCTACCACATCTGGAGGAAAGCAGAGCAAACTAGAGGAGAAGGTCAGGAAGCCAAGGACTGCAAGAGGATGAGGAGGTTCTTCCTCATTGTTGAATTTCTTAGTGAGAAGCAGGTAGCAGCCTGTCTCCTGGACAGAATTCCTGCATAATGTCCAAGCGCCAGCCCACTGACAGACACTATGGAAACAGACAGAGGGAGATGTCGAGTGTTGAGAGTCCCAAACGGAGAGGAGCAACAAGAATTCTAGTTTCCTGTGTGGGTGAACTCTCTGCTTGATCTGGCCCACCCTGAAGAGGGGAGTGAAGGCAGTGACAGACAAGGCATCCAGGAATGTTGCTGGGAGGGTTGGTCTGTGGTCACTGCAAACCAGCACTCCAGTGTCTGAGTTCGCTGTAAATACCTGATACGTGATGGTACAATTACTTGTGCTTCTTTTTCCTTCCTCAACCAGTTCTAATTCTTCTTACCCCTTCATTATCCTAAATGAGTTCTTTCACAATTTGCTAATTCCATGTTTCAAAGAAAACCCTAATATTTCTATGGAGATTACATTGACTTCAGAAACACTTTTGAAGAGAGTATTTTTACAGCATGAAGACTTTCCATTAGCATTATTTAACATTGTTTAATTCTTGCTACTAAAAAACATCTGAATTTTGAAACCAGTTTGAACTTGTTTTGTTAGAATTATGCCTGCATGTAAACAACCAGGGTCACAGGCTTGCTATCTTGTGACCCCACACCCAATATGACCGTGGAAGTTTGTTAGCTAGAGGACACTGCAGCCAATACAACTCCTGCAGATCTCTTGGCTGGAACTTCTACTCACAGAACCTTTAGGTGCAACTACGTTGTCAAAGACTCCAACATGCTCTCCTTTCCTCAGCATGTGTGTGATCCTGCCTTCTCCATCTAAGACTGGAGACTTTGTCTAACTCGTGAATGAATCAATGGATGAAAAAGTATATTTGACATGTAGTTATGATATCGTCAAGAGGCCTCACTAACATCTAGACCATGGAAAGTGGGGTTTAGCCATTTGTTAACTGTTAAATCCTACATGAAGGTTGTGTGTGTGCTGATTGGGGAGCGTGGCCACCTCTGACTCACAGATGGCTCTCTTCTTAGACAAGTCCGTGCCTGGGTGAACCACAGTCTTGTTGCCTCGCAACCTTGAAGACCTCTGCATTTGATATGCTCAGAGGGAGATCTGGCCGATCGCTGGCTGATCACTTGAGTTAAAAGGTGGTGGGTGTGGAAGACAAGAGCAATAACGATCAATTCTGCTTTCATGCTTAAGGAGCCATGAGTAGAGAAAACCAGTCCTCTACCCTGGATTTCATCCTCCTGGGAATCACTGGTCAGCAGGAACAAGAAGACATCTTCTTCATCCTCTTCCTCCTCATTTACCCCATCACATTGATTGGAAACACACTCATCATCCTGGCCATTCGCTCTGACACGCGCCTGCACAACCCCATGTACTTTCTGCTTGCCAACCTCTCCCTTGTTGACATCTTTTTCTCCTCTGTAACCATCCCTAAGATGTTGGCCAATCATCTCCTGGGGAGCAAAGCCATCTCCTTTACAGGATGCCTAACACAGATGTATTTCATGATCGCCCTGGGTAACACCGACAGCTACATCTTGGCTGTGATGGCCTATGACAGGGCTGTAGCCATCAGCCGCCCACTTCATTATACAACAATTATGAGCCCGTGCTCTTGTGTGCTGCTCATTGCTGGGTCTTGGGTGGTTGGAAACACCAATGCTCTCCCTCACACTCTGCTCACAGCACATCTGTCCTTCTGCGGCAACAGGGAAGTGGCCAACTTCTACTGTGACATCACCCCTTTGCTGAAGCTTTCCTGCTCTGACATTAGCTTTAACGTCAAGATGATGTATCTAGGGGTTTGTGTTTTTTCAGCACCATTGCTCTGCATCATTGTCTCCTACATTCGAGTCTTTTCCACAGTCTTATGGGTTCCTTCCACGAAGGGTATCCTGAAAGCTCTCTCGACCTGCGGCTCCCACCTCACAGTCGTCTCTCTGTACTACGGGACAGTCATGGGCATGTATTTCCGCCCCCTGACCACTTACAGCCTGAAGCACGCAGTGATCACTGTGATGTACATGGCAGTGACCCCAATGTTAAATCCTTTCATCTACAGTCTGAGGAACCGGGACATGAAGGCTGCTCTGGGAAAGCTCGTCAGCAAGAGAACCTCGGCCCAGTCACTGTGAGATCACACACGTGACCCTGCAACTGTCCTCAGGAGGCGCCTGGGACTCCTGCTCCAACCTCATCCTTCTGCCAGACGCTGCTGCCTTTGACCGTGCCAGGCTCAAATTCACTTTCTCAGAAAGCTTGTAAGAGTTTGAAATGATTCTAAGAGTATTGATTCTAAGAGTATTCTAAGAGTACTTCTAAGAGTATTGAAATGATCACTAGACTAAAACAACTAACTGAAACTCGCAACAAATACAACCAAAAAACGCACTTCTGGGGAATATATCTAATTATGTGGCACCAAAAAAATGTCATTAAATTGCAATAAAATAAGATAGTGTGTTCCAAGCCTGTTGATGAAGACACCCACATCCCATATCAGAATGCCTGGGCTGATTCTCTCTTCTGCCTTCGAACTTTCATTTCCTGACAGTGTAAACCTGGAGGGGTAATGGTGGTGGCTCATCCATAAGATGGGAGAGCTCTCTCTCCCCCTCTACCACCCTGGTAAATTTAGATTTTTTAAAATATCCAATGGAAGATGATCACAGAATTTAGGACGAGTGTCAATTCAAGAGTTGATAGATCAGAGTAGTTAAACCAAGGATATCATGTGGTTCGATGTAGGTTACAGGTACAGACCTAATTTTTAGGTTAGGGCCTAGCCTGTGAGTGTCTATGCAATTATGATTGCTGGAGACAGAAACACAGCTCAACAGATGCTCCCGAAGGCCAGCTTGACAGGTGGAAGCTCGTCTTGCATCAAGGACTGGATGACAGGGTAAGCTAGAGAATAATAGAGACACACAGGTGGTGCGCAGTAAGGAGCAGGAGAGAGTGTCTAAAGACAGCAGAGAGCATTGGGCAACTTTTGAATTCTTCTGTGAAGTCTTCAGTAGGTGAACGAAGATATGAAGGTCTGTGGTAAAGCTGGCAGGACACAATCCTACTGGAATCAACAAGGACAGTTCTAGACTAGAAGGGACCACCCAGGGGATTCACAGCCTGATTCTAGTCTGAGGAAGAGGCGTCTCGGGGAGAAGGGGGTTCATAGAGGGGGAGGCTCAGCTCCGTGTCTCTCCCGTCATGCATGTCCCCAGTCAAGGCCCCTGGCACCGTGTATTACTGCAGCATTGAAATGGACACTCGACGATTGGTTTTGAAAAACGCGAAACAATGCTCACCACAAGGAAAAAGTGCAAAGCCCTACAAAGGAAATTCAGAAAGGTCACGTAGGTTCGATCTAAGTCACTACAGTTCAAAAATACCTGGGTTGAGTACTTACCACATCATGTATATGATTATTATTTCTTTTAATTTTTAGAATAGTCCTGAAGCATAGAGAGCAATGGTCAACTCTACCATAAATCACAGCTGTCACTTCCCATTTCCTACCTGTGGTTTCCCAGGAAGTCATGGGACGTGGTTGATGATGTGCCATTCACTACAACCTACACAGAAACAAAAAATGATTCTTCCTCTAAAAGCGTGTCTTCTTTCTATCTGAAGAATGGGACAGGAGTGCTGTGTGACCTCTGAGGTCAGCTGCTCACAAAATTCCCAAGGAGCCTAGGGCACGCCGATGGTTCAAGCAAACCTTGGCAGGCCCGCACCTGCTGCGTCAATCGCAGCCGGTTCCTGTCCAAGGGGATAGGAAACGGGCTCCTGTTCCTGAGTGCTCCACTTCTCCCATGCCTGGGACTCAGGTGTTTACACAGACACTGCTGACCTGAGGGTCCAGCACTTCGTAACTCTAACCTCTATTATGTATTAGCTAGTATTGTCACCCCCTTTTCCAGACGGGGAGCCTCAGACCTTGAGAACTCTAAGTTCTGTCCTCAGTTGCACAGTTAGAATCTGTGGTGATGCTGTAATTCAACCTGAGTCAGCTCCAGAACCCAGGCGTTCAGTCCCCTCAGCTCCCACAGAGGCACCGGTTCACACACTGTGGAGTAATGGATAAAGCCATTGTCCACAGCACTGACATCCTAGATGGTTCATGTCCCAGCTGCCCCACTTCCCATCCAGCTCCCTGCTGTGGCCTGGGAAAGCAGTTGAGGACAGGTCAAAACCTTGGGACCCTGCACCCACTTGGGAGACCCAGAAGAAGCTCCTGCCCCCTGGCTTCAGGTCAGCTCAGCTCCAACCATTGCAGCCACGTGAGGAATGACCCAGCAGATGGAAGATATTTCTGTCTCTTCTTCTCTCTATAAATCTGCCTTCCCAATAAAAATAAATAAGTCTTTTTGGGGGGGGCTGGTACTTAAATACTTATGATCCAGGGAGTGAGTTCCCATCTGCTGGTCCACGCCCAACATGTTCACAGCGGCTGAGATCAGCAGCCAAGATCACAACCCAGCCTTGCAGGTGAGTAGCGGCAGCCCAGTTACTTGAGCCATCACCGTCCATGCCTTCCCCAAGCTCTGCATTAGCAGGAGGCGGAGTTAGGAGCCAAACTCAGGCGCTGCGGTATGGGATGCAGGCTTCCCCTCCAGCGTCTCAGCCACAAGACCAGATGCTTTCATTCCCCTTCCCCGGCCGCAGGCTGCTGCAGGTCCTGAACAGCTGTGAATATTCTGAGTGTCCCGTGGCCATGAGCAGTGTCTGGTATCCAGATCCGGGTGATTGGAGAAAGAGGTCAAAACCGCATCCTCCCTAGCCTGGAACCTTACTGTGCTGTACCCATTGGCACATTTTTCATCAGCTTGCTTACCAAACCCAAAGGTTGCAGAATGTAGAGTTAGAAGCAAGGAATCTATGCACTCAGCCACCTGTTGAGTGCAGACTGCTGTGAAAGAACTGCAGAAGTCCCCAGTAGGGACAGGAGCAGGGACACAAGGGAGAACCCTGGCTTCCGTGCGTGACTCCTTACGCGCCCTGCATCTTGTGTGTGTGTTGGGGGAGCAGCGAGGGGCGGACTTGGATGTGGTGACGAACATGCTGGCTGGGACACCTGCCTCCCGGATCTGAGTGCCTGGGATTCAGTTCCAGCTCCACTCCCCAGTTGAGCCTCCTGTTCACGTGCACCCTGGTCGTTGGCAGGCAGAAGCTCAGCACGTCCTTGGGTCCTGCTGCTTGGGTTAAATTCTTAGCTCCTGGGTCATCCTTGGCCATTGTGAGCATTTGGGGAGTGAACAGTGAATGAGAACTCTCTTTCTCTCTGCCTCTCAAATAACTACTTTTAAACATGCTGGCATGTGGTGTAGTGAGTAAAGTTACTGCCTGTGATGCCAGCATCCCATGTGGGCACCAGCTTGACTCCCGGCTGCTCCACTTTGTATCCCAGCTCTTGTGCCTGGGAAAAGCAGCAGAGGACAGCTGGGTTTGAAACCTTCCTGAAGTCAGCTGCTCTGCCCAGCTCTGTTAGCCGGGCACCTGAGACAAAGGGAGGGGAGGAAACTGGACCTTGTCACAGGGTGGGCTCAGAAAACCAAGAGGGGCACCGGCGCCCCACAGCAGAACGCCTGGCTGGCTCCAGCGTCCCAGCAGTGAGGGCTCCTGGCATTGGGCTCCTGCCCCAGGTGGCAGCTGTAATTGAGTTCCTGGCTCCTGGCTTCAGTCACCCCTGAGGGTTGTAACCCACATCTGGGAAGTGAACTCTCCTTGTTTTTACTCTCTCTCTTGTCTATCTCTGGCCTCCCACTCAGACCCACAAATAAATCAGTAAATAAAATCTAAAGCCGCAACAAGACACCCGCCTGAGAGCTCAGTGCGCCACCTCCTGTTTGTTTATTTACTGATTTTGAGAACTCCCGTCCCCTGGTTTGTCCTCCAGATGTCCACCATAACAAAGTCCAGATCTGGAGGCTCAGATCTGGTCTCCTCCCACGTGGGTGGCCATGCCCATGGTCCACCCAACTGCACATGAGCCGGCAGCTGAAAGTGGGAGCGAAACTGGAGCCAGCCCCACAACCTGCCCCATACACCCATTAGAGTCCCCACGCGTCCATCGTTAGGCTAAACGTCCATCCCGGGTCTCCTGTTTGACCAATAACTGATCAATGCTGGAAAATCAAAGCCAGTTTTCGCGCTCCCATCCCAGGAGCAGGCACAAGCCTGGAGACCACGGCGCGCACACACTGCGCTCCGGCAGGTGGCGCGCGCCCTCCAGCGGCGGCCGCGCAGTATTGACACCCCTTCCACACCAGGCTCACCAACCGCACAGGTGTCTCAGGGTATCAACAGAACCAGCTTGCTACAGCCCCTTTTGCTTTCGGTGAACTGGGCTCTGTAGCCCCTCACTGGGGACCTACCAGCTCAACCGTGGACTTATCCACACAGACATACATTAAGAAATACAATAAGAAATGTGTCACCTGGCCTTCTTGAGCCTTAAATGTCTCTGGGACTGAGCGCATTCCTGGTCCTGGACAAACCCCGGTGCATCAGCGAGAGGAAAAGGGAGAAGGCTGGGACACGGTCTGGTACCATCAGAGAGAACCCTCACAGTGACTGATAGAATTATAACCCGTTTCAGCGGCCCGTCATGGAGGGTGGCTCCCAGTCCGCAGGGAGATGGCAAAGTAAGGAACAGTGCTGGCACTGGGAAAAGCCGGTACCCAAGACAGGGCCAGCCCTGAGTGCCCCTGGATCGCGGCATGGCAAGTCGGGGTGCCACGCCGGTGGAGTTTCCTGAGACTCCCTGGGAGTCCCCGACTCTGGGGACAGGAGAGCCACCCGAGGGTGGTGGCGGGAGAAGCCACTGGCCTCCTGGTGCTCCAGGGCCCTGGAGAAGCTGTGTGCACCGGAGAGCGGTGCTGGGAGGGGTGCCCAGGCTGGAGGGGTGCCCAGGCTGGGGGGGTGCCCAGGCTGGAGGGGTGCCCAGGCTGGGGGGTGCCCAGGCTGGGGGGGTGCCCAGGCTGGAGGGGTGCCCAGGCTGGGGGGGGTGCCCAGGCTGGGGGGGTGCTCAGGCTTGGAGGGGTGCCCAGGCTGGAGGGGTGCCCAGGCTGGGGGGGGTGCCCAGGCTGGGGGGGTGCTCAGGCTTGGAGGGGTGCCCAGGCTGGAGGGGTGCCCAGGCTGGGGGGGGATGCCCAGGCTGGAGGGGTGCCCAGGCTGGGGGGGTGCCCAGGCTGGAGGGGTGCCCAGGCTGGGGGGTGCCCAGGCTGGGGGGGTGCCCAGGCTGGGGGGGTGCCCAGGCTGGGGCGGTGCCCAGGCGGGGGGGTGCCCAGGCTGGGGGGGTGCTCAGGCTGGGAGGGGTGCCCAGGCGGGGGGGTGCCCAGGCGGGGAGGTGCCCAGGTTGGGGGGGTGCCTGTGGAGTGCGCACCAAGAGCTCCCAGGACGAGCACACGACCTCCCTCCCACGGTGTCTCGCTGGCGCCCTCTCCTGAAGGCTGAGCGTCATGACAGCCTGCTCTATTCCTCGGAGAGAGGAACTGAAAAGCGAGGTTTGCACCTGCTGCTCTCTCCGATGGTCCAGAACAGCCGGGGCTGGACCGAGACCTGAAGTCAGGAACTCACTGCTGCCCCCCAGGGTGGCTGCCTCAGCAGGAAGCTTGGCTGCCGGTGGGGTCGCCTCTGTCTACTCATGTGAGCTTTTTTGGTACAGGCCTTTCAGCTACTGTTCCTCCACCCCCTCTCTAGCTTCTCGATGGTTTGGCAGGATCATCATTAGCGACTGGGACCGTGTGGCCTGGCAGGGGCGGCCTCAGCTTTGTTCCTCGGGTGCTGGCACGTTGCCCCCAGGCCCACATCACACCTTTCAATGTGATCATTTGCTCTGGTTTGGAGATAGAAGTGGCTCTAAACTTTTATTATTATTATTATTTAATCTTTATTTCCATGTCGTTTTTCATCCCACTCCCCTGTTTCCAGCAGCTTGCTCATTTTCCTCGCAGAGGTCCTGCTGACCCAACACGCCAGTCTAGACAAGCGTCACCCATGTGTATCTTAGGCCTCCTGCATTTAAGCTAGTTCTCTGTTAGTGCTCTCAGGTGTCCCCTTCGTTTTCCCTTGAGATCCTGTGCCTTTCTGGGCCGCGGGTCCCTTCACATCTGTGGTCCTGCAGTGCCCCTAGGTGGGGGGCAGGCATCTCTTGGTCCCCCAGCAGCCTCAGCAGGTGCCAGCCCCCGTCATCCAGCCCAAGTGTACTGGAGGACAGATTTACAAGGAGACTGCAAATGGCGGTTCCCGATCACAGGGCTGCACCAGAACCCACCTCGCTCCCCTGTGCTTACCAAAATCCAGATCTCCAGGCCCATCCATACCAACTGAATTTCCACATCTGGAGTAAGGTCTGAAATCTGCATTTCGCCAGTCTTAATGTCCTTTGTTTTTAAGATGTATCGATTGCAAGGCAGATTATTTTAGAGAGAGACAGAGTGCGTCTTCCATCTGGTTCACTCCCCAAATGGCCGCAATGGCCACAGCAATAGCCTTGGTCATTTCCTGACCACAGACCTGCTGGTGCACCACGAGCCTTTCTGCTTCTCTCCAAAGCTCTTTCTCAACAAAGAATTCCATGTTTATCCACAGCCTTTACAGGTGGGTTATGTTCCCACTGAGATCATTCAAATCACGGGACGTAATTTGTTGTCCCAGATCACAAAAGTCAGTTCCAACAAAGGCTTGTTCTTTGCCTTTAGTTTTTCTTTTTAAGATTTACATATTTATTTGAAAGGTAAAGTTACAGGGAAGGAGAGAAGGACAAAAAAACATCTTCCATCCACTGATTTATTTCCCAAATGGCTATAGCAGCCAAAGCCATGAGTCTGGAACTCCTTATCAGGGTCTTCCACTAGAGCCGTCTTCTGCTGCTTTCTCAGGTACTTTAGCAAGGAGCTGAACTGGATGTGGAACAGCCAGGACTCAAAGATTGGTACCCATCTGGGCTGCTGGCCTTGCAAGCAGTGTCTAAACCCACAGTGCTGGCCCTGCCTTCAAATCTCCTTAGGGGAAAAAAAGCTGGACAAGTATTATTTTAATATTTTTTAATTGGAAAGGTAGATATACAAAGAGAAGAAGATACAGAGAGAAAGATCTCTCATGTGCTGGTTCACCTCCTGTGTGGCCCCAGCGGCTGGAGCTGAGCCGGTCCGAAGCCAGAATCTAGGAGCCTCTTCCAGCCACCCCCCCCGCACACACACACGGGTGAAGGCGAGGACTGAGCCGGTATCCAGCCCAACAGGCATCATTTCTAAACCTTCTTCCAATCAGTGCAAAGCATTCAGCAGAACACGCCCGTCTGGGAGTTCACGGGGGCCAGGAGGAGAGGGCGTTGAGCCATGGGCGTTGAGCCATGGGCATTAGGAACTGAGAAAGTCTGTGAGGAGAAGGAGGAGGCAGGGCTGGCTCATGTCCGTGACCCTGACAGAAGCAGAGGCCAGGCAGTGAAACACTCCAGGGCGTTGTGAGGATGGGGTGGGCTCTGATGGACCCATGCCCAGACCAAAGGGGCGTCGGCAGAGAAAGCAGAGCACGGACAGGTCAATGTCAGGTGTCTAGGGCTTTTGCACAACTCGGAGTAGGTTTCTGAACCTCAATGGCTCATTCAGGAAAAAGGGGAAAAATCACTTTTCAGACCAAAGAAACATCCACAGAGAATATGCAGCCGACCCCTGACCCAACTCCACCCACGCAACCAAGTTCCAACACGGATGAACACAAAATATGTGATTTATTGTCAATTTCTGCAAAGACACATTTAAGCAACAAAATATACATTTGTCAACCTTTTAGAATTTGTTTTATACACTAACAAATACAATGTGCTACCCTAGCAATAAATTAAATGTACACTATTTACATTACATCGACAATAGGGGGTTGTGAGGGGATGCCTACAGATGGCCCCCGCGTGGGCACACAGGGAGGAAAGCCAAGCTGACGGGGTCACCATCACTCCCAAGCCGCAGGGCTCTGCCCCATCCCACAGAGGCAGGTGGTGGACGGCGGGCCCCGGGACCTGGGACAGTTGGCACGCATGCTAAGGGGTGGGCAAGGGACTCTCCCTTCCACGCAGAAAGGTTACGGATACAAAGACAATGGCAAATCATGTCTGGATTTCCAAACAAACATCCCGGACTGAGGCACAGGACTGAACCCCAGCATCCTGCAGCTTTTCACCTTCCTGGGGTTTGTCTCTTTCCGCCCAAGGGGGCCCACAGCCTGGCAGGGCTGGTGGTGAGCCAGGGACCGGCCTTGGGGAAGGATGTCCGTGCCACCACCAGCCAGCCAGCCAGCAGCGGGCATTTGGCTTTGCTAAGCGGTACCTGGAGGCCGTGGGGGGCTTTGGAGGGGCATCGGGCTCAGCCAGTTAGCTTGGTCCCTGCTGCTTTCTGCTAACTTAGACATGAACATGAAAGTAAATGGGCTGGCACCTTATAGGGCTGGGGAAGCGAGAGACACATAAGCTCTTGTTGCCTGAACCCAGGCAATGAACGTGTGAATGGATGAGTCGGCGAGAAAGCAAGTGGGTTCTGTGACCACTTCCCTCGTGGACTTATGCAAAAGGAAGCCGAGGCCCGAGAACGGCACCTTCGCCCCCACCCACGCAACACCTCCTGGGAACCCTCCCACCCCGAGCTTGCTCGGCTCAGGCTGAGTCCCAAACCAATGGCCTCCCTGAAAAACTCCTCCTGGCAAGAAAAAAAAAAAAAAGGAAAAAAGCAGGCACAGAGGCCCCTCCTGCCACCCTTCTCCCTGCCCCAGCATCCTCCCAGCCAGGGCACGAGCCACCAGCTCCACCAGCTGCCCCAAATCCTGGGGACCCCAGGGCGGCAGCGCAGGCATAAACCCTGGGTTGTGGGTCGCTTCCCCTCCATGGAATTGATGCTTCTCGGCTGGATGACGACGTGGCTGTGTGACAGCATGGCTAGATGACGACACGCCAAGGGCGTGGACCCACACGACGGTCCAGAAACATCACCTTCCAACCCTAGCCCAGACACGCCTTCCGGTGCAGGCTCCCGTCTCCAGCTTTTCCGTGGGTGTCTAACCTCAGCGTGGCCGCAGGCACCATGTTGTGGCTTCCCCCATGTGCAGGCAGCCCTCACAGGGGTCACCACAGCAGCTGGGGCACCTCCTGGCTGACTCTGGTCAGCGGGGGCACGGCCTGGGCAAATCTTTGACCCCAGGGCTAGGTGCCATTGTGGACCACAGCAGGCAGGAGAGTGGGGTCCAGAGCGTGGAGGGCACTGCCCTCTAGGACTGCCTGCTCTGGGGCCTGTCCATGACACAGCAGCATGGAGGGACCAGGTTCATCCGTGTTCTGTACCCCCTAGTCTGGGCACTGGACCCCTGGGTGAAGTTACAGGGTGGACTGCCTGGAGGGGATGAGATGACTGAGGGAGGTGGGTGCCCAGAGCAGCCCAGAGGACCCCAATAGCAAACCAGATCTGCAGCCCCCATCGCAGCACTGTTCAGGAGTACACCTGGGCCTTTCAACTCCACCGGGCACAGCCAGTGCTAAGGGGATAGTGGAGGGTACGGGACAGCGTGGGGACAACCTGGAAACCTCTGAGGACCCCAGATCCTGAAGACACTTGGTGCCACCACCAAGCAGCTGTAAATCCACACCACCCAGAGGCCAGTGAGACGGAACTGCTTTAAACACAGCTTGAAAGACCCAGATCCTTGAGAAACCCCACCACCAGGAAGCTGCCGACTCACTCCCAGCAGGGGGCGCCACCGCAGCATGCCGGCGCACCTGCTCAGCTGTCTTGATGAGATGCACCTTCCCCACGTGCAAGCTGTTTCCCAAAAGCCCAAGGCAGAGGCCATTCAGTCACAGACTGGATCCAACAATTTCCATGTGAGCAGGGACACCACCAGCTCTGCTCCCAATGCTTGGGCTAAGAAGCCCTTCCCTGCCCCTAAACTCTCCCACATCAACATTCCGGCTGAGAAGCAGACTCCCAGGCAGCCAGCCCTGCACTTGCTTGGAAATCTTCCTCATCCTCCCATAAAAGCTGGCATCGAGTAGCCTGGGGTGACCCTGAGCGCACTGAGTGTGTCTCCAGGCCCACAGCTGCAGCGGGGAGAGGGGTGGCAGGGATGGACATGTGCAGTGTAGGTGACGGCCCCCCCAGACAGCGAGGGCCCCCATAGATCCACGTGATCCCAACCAGACCTGCCACGCCGTCTCATCCGATGGGTGGGATGAACTAGCCAAGCCCTCCTGCAACTCTCCCTGCCCTGTACCTCAGCTGGCGGAGACCTGTGCTGCAGCCGAGCCCCCAGGCACTGAGGTGCCCTTCTGCCCAGGCACAGGTGCAGCCTGGTCTGTTCTCCCTGAGTTCCTTCTCGCTCCTGGCCTACCAACCCTCCGTGAGAAAAACATCTGCTTGGTGGCAGAGATGACCAGGGGCAGCAGCAGGTGGAGACCGTGGCTGGGCAAGACTGGGAGCTCCCGGCAGCAGGCGAGGACACGCCAGCTCTGCCCACAAGCCCTGCTCCGGGCCATCAGCCTGCACCTGCAGGTGCGTGACAAGTCCTTAGCTGAGAGGCAGATGTGTTTTCTAGAACTCCAGGGAACACAGGAGGGACATGGCTCGTTGTTATCAGGATAGCCTTGAGAGGCTCCTGGGAGAGCAACCCCTCCACTCCCACAGAACGCATCCACAGGGGAGAAAACCCCTGCCCGCCACAGCAAGGCAGGCACTGCCTTGTGCCCACCTCTCACCCAGGGCACGGAACCCTACTGCTGGCCTCTGCTCCGCCTCCCCTGCTACCTCTGTGAGTTCCCCACATTCTGGCTGAGCCTCCGGGCCCCCAACCCCACCTTGCCTAATTCTCTTTTCCTCTGCAGACAGAACAAGATGACAAACAACCTAGACGGATATTGTCCTGGGAGACCAGGAGCAGGGGAGCCCCGAGGAATGAGGCCTTGTTGGGGGCACAGGAAGGCGCTGGCAGGCTGTGCTGGCAAAGGGCCATGGCCGGGTAGGGACACGGGGAACAAGACAGCTAGTCTGGTAGCCAGACCACCAGGGAGGTAGAGGGTCTGAGTTGAGTGGAGTCGTAGACGGCACCCCCAAACTGCTGCACCAGGAGCCTTCCCTGCAAAGACGAGAAGGAGGGAGATGAGGACAATGAGGTTCCCATGCACGGTGCCCATGAAGCCTGAACCTGGGTTCTGTCCACAGAGGCACAGGATGCCACGCAGGGGCTGGAGGAGAAGGCCCATATTTCCACTGCATCCTCAGCCTCTGCCCCACTTGGCTCCAGAGTGGCCTCAGCTGTGGCCACCCCATGGTTGCAACTGTGGCTCAGACCCCTGCATGCCCAGGAGGGGAACAACTAGGGCCTGGCCAGCAGGAGCCCAGGCCTGGATGGTGACAAGGGGACCAGGGCCACCCTCAGGCGGAAGCCACTTGTCCCTTGTCAGGGGCCAAAGGCAGGTGCCGCCCTGGATCTGCCCCTCACAGTAGTTCCCCCTAGCTCTAAGCATGGAGGACGCTGGAGCCTCGGCCAAGGACGAGGACAGAAGGGGCAGCAAGGGGGCATCCCAGGAGCCCCTCTCTGGAGGCCCTGGGCCACTTCCCTGACTGCAGCCAGATCCCACCCGGTGGAAGGGAGACCTGTGCAGTGGGTCTGCCCCTATGCCATCAGGCAGCCTGCTCTGCCAGTACCCAAGGCCGCTGGGCCCTTCTTCCAATCAGCATTGAGGCTTCTGTGTGCACCTGCCCACTGGCAGGGTGTCTCCAGCCACTCTGCGCCCTGTCCCCCAGCTGCCACAGGACACTCTGTCCACCCACCTCGGACAGGCGAAGGACTTCCTCTCTCCCATTAGTGACCCTGTTCCAGAAAAATCCACAAGAGTTGTGAGCACCCAGGCAGCACCGCACTTCCCACAGCAGCCCCTGTGTCCCCGCCCCTCACCAACACCCAGGGGCCAACAGTGTAAGACTCAGACTCGGGCAGGGCCACATCCAAGGGTGTGGCCGTAATGTGGGCCGTGCCACCCCACCCCCAAGTAAATGCCTGCACCACGTGGGGCCCCTCAGCCACCCCAGTCTGACCAGGGCTCTCCTCTCCCTGCCTGCCAATGTGCTGTCCCAGAGCCCAGCAGCTCAGAGCCCTGTTTGGGGGGAAGGAGTGGAATGCAGGCACGGGAAGTCGATGGCGTGCCGTCCATCCCCAGGCCCCGTATCCTTACCGCACTGGAGCTGGCATGGCTGAGCTTATCAAAGCGGAATTTCAGGTTGGATCTTGGGGAGTTTCTGCTTTTGGCATCTGGGGAAAGAAGCCCAAGCACAGGCTAAGAGGGATCTGCCAGCAATGGGGAGCAGGCGGGAGGCGCCCCACTTGTCAGAGCTTGTACATTTCTCGCCATTGGATACAGGCCATTTCTTAAATCTAAGTCATGTAGGCTTCCAAGTAAGTTATAGTCCACAAAAGTAAAAATTCCTAAACTTCATCACTTCCTAGTTGTTTCATTTTGTTTTTCCCTTTCATTTAAGAGGCAGAGAAAGAGAGAGCTCCCACCTGCTGGTTCGTTGCCATGTGGGCACAATGGCTGGGGACGGGCTGGGAACCCAGTGAGGCTCTCCCTCAGGGGTGGCTCGGACCACACGAGCCATCACCACTGCCTCTCGGGGTCTACATTAGCAGGAAGCACAGGTCAGGAGGCAGAGCCAGGCCTCCAGCGTGGGACCCAGGCAGTTCACTGCTAGGTCAAACGCCTCTGCTTATTTTACTACGTATGGCCCCTGGACTGCTGTCCATGTTCCCGTAGCTGCCTGTGCCCGGGACAAGAACACCATGCAATGCTGGCTGCCGCACATACCTCCCCCAGCTCCACTTGCAGAGCCATCACCAGCGAGAGATGGACCAGGATGGGCCGTGACCATGGAAACCAGCAAATACCACTCATCAGGCCTTGGTCCCATGTCTCATAAGCTAGACTTCAGAAACTACTGGGGGAGACAATGTTGCAGATTTCATTTGAAGGCGTGTCAGCAGCCGTCATGCCATGAATAGCACAAAAGTGTGAGCAGTCCCCTGGTGTGTGAAGCTAACAGCCAAGAGGTGACTGAAGCCGGCTGAGTGAATTAAATTCTCTCACCCCCGGGTGTTGGGTGCTCGGAACAGAGAGGGTGTGGCTCAGCAGTTTAGACACCTGCTGGGGACGCCCACGTCAGAGCGCCTGGGGCCCATCACTGCTTCCAGCCACTAGCTCCAGCTTCCTGCCGGCACAGATGCTGAGGCAGCAGGTAACAGTTCCAGAAACAGAGTGCCAGCCACCCACCCGGATTGAGTCCCTGGCTCTCGGTTTCAGCCTTGACCATCGTGGGCATCAGGGGAGCGAATCAGCACATGAGAGCTCCCCCTCCTCGGCCTCTCAAATAAACAAAATGAGTAAGATGCTCAGGAACATAAAAGACACCAGCCTACATTCATGCTGGAACTATTTGTTCTTCACGTGCACCTGACGCTGGCTGCAGTTGATAAAGCTGATTAGGCAGCTATCAATCAAAGCGTTTTGTGAAGATCAGATAAATAGGGTTTAGGCGGCAGAGAATGCTCTGTCACTGGCTCAATGGCACCGTGCCCAGCCACAGCAGGCCCCAGCTGTGGATGCAGGTTCCAGATCCGTGCTTGCCCTCTGCTGGCAGGCGTCTTGACTCCCAACACCCACAACCCTGGCCCACTGTGCCCATCACCCCAGGGGCCATTAGATGGCGCTAGGGAGGGGGAGGCTGGTCCTCCCCCTACACGGGGCAGGTGCCTCCTCCTCTGCGGCTCTGCGGGGGTCACAGAGGTGCCTGGCTGCTGGAACCCTCCCCCCTCCGCCATGGCCTGCTGCCTGATTGCCTCCCCAGCACTCCCCTCACTGCCCCCTTTGTCAGGAATCCCCCCAAGACAGCAGCCGCATCCTCCACTGCATCCGTTCTCAGTTCTGGGCAGCGTTTCTCTCTCCGAACCCTGTCAAGGGGCTGGCTGGCATTGTGGCACAGTGCATTAAGCTAACAGGTTACAACCCTGGCATCCCATGTGAGCACCTGTTCAAGTCTCGGCTGCTCTGCTTCCTATCCAGCTCCTTGCCCATACTCCTGGGAAAGGGGAAGATGATGGCTCAAGTGCTTGGGCCCCTGCCACTCCTGTGGGAGACCTGGTTGGAGATCCAGGTCCCTGGACTGGCCGCGAACAAAGCTCTGCCTGTTGCAATCATTTGGGGAGTGGTACAGCAGTTAGAAGAGCGCTCTCTCTCTCTCTCTCTCTCTCTCTCTCTCTCTCTCTCTCCCTATTGCTCTTTCAAATCAATAAATACACTTTCAAAAAATAAAGAGCCCCTTTGGAGAGTATTCCCAATATTCCCCAGGTCTCCCATGGTCCCGGCCTGTCACTAGCCTGTCCCCTCTCTCTCATGCCTCTCTGTAACTCCAGCTGTACTGGGCCGCTTGCAGTTCCAGAACACCCTGGCCCACACCTCTCCCCAGGCCTTTCCATAGGTTGTTCCCTCCTCCCAGGGTTTGGCCTGTATCACTAGGACCATGAGCAGGTGGTCCTGGCTCATTGATGGGGTACAGACAGAGGACCACCCCAGATCCTCCTCTACCACATTCCCTCTGGCAAATCATTCACCAAATCACTGAACAGGTGCTCAGTTCCCCATGCATAAGGAGAAGGCGAGGACCCGGGTCTCTTGTGATTGACAGATAGAGGGCAAGACCAACGCCTTGGTGCTGAGGCCAGCCCCAGCTGCCCAGGATGACTGCCTGCCAACAGGGGTCAGCGCCCCACCTCGCCCTCCTGACCACCAGACTCCACTGACCCGTGGGACTCCGGCTCATGATGATGGGAATGGTGGCCGACCCCAGGCTGGGGCTCTCGCTGCTCGGGGACGGGCTGTAGACAAACACCTCCTGCTTGAAGGGCGAGGCTGTGGATGGCTGGCTGCTCTGGGGAGAAGAGGCTGGGTGAGCGAAATCAGTCCAGCTACAGCGACCCCTAGAGGATGGCTGTGTCCGGGCAGGTCCATGAGAGGTCCCCACCAGCCCAGGACGACCCCTGCCACCCTGCCCACACCCCTCAGTCTGATGCCTGTGGCTCAGGGAAGAGAGGGGATCTCTCCCAACCACGGACATCAATGGCTAAGCAGCCACCCGTTGCTTCCACCCTGCGCAAGCCGTCTCCACGCCCACCTACCCCACTGTCGCACTCCTCCAGGGCCTCGCCCTCGCCCGCAGCGCTGCTGAAACTGCTGGTGCTGGAGGACGAGCGGGAGATGCTGGCCCGGCCGTTCTCCTTCAACTTGACAAAGGGCCTGTGGGAACGGATGCCGGACCCACAGTCACCCACTGAGACCCCAGGCCCTCCCCGCGCCCTGGGGCAGACAGCAGAGCAGGCCCGGTGCAGGGCCACCCTCCAGCCGGGGTGTTCTAGAAAGCTCTTGGAGTCTAGAGCCGCTCAGTCCCAGCTGGGCTGGTGGGCATCTCGGTCCAGGCCCCAAACGGCTGCAGCCGTCTGCCCCTGCCCTCTTACTTCTCTTTGTTGGGGCAGATTTCTGGAGAGCTGGGGTTGGAGGAGGTTTCAGACTTTATCTCCTGAGAAGAATGTCCGCCGTCCGGGGTCTTAGGGGTGCTGGAGGAGCTGTCACTGGGGAAACACGAATGAGCAATGAGGCCAAGGCGCCAGACCCCAAGCCCCCTTAGACCCACACCCAGGCCCTGGTGGCCACCCACGGGCTCCGCGGGGCACTGTGGGGTCACAGCGCCCCCTTCTGGAGCAAGCCACAGGGACTTCCTTTCCTGCCAGAGCAGTAGATGGGGAAGCGGGGACGGTGGTCTCGAAAGAAGGGGCGGCTCTGAAGTCAGGGGTCAGAGTTCTGGCTTGTCGCTCTGCTGCCCACCACGCAGGCCACCCCTCCCGGCAGCGCTGCAGGGCAGGGCAGCCACGCAAGGAAGGAGCGCAGGCTCCACATGGAAAGGGGACAACGACACCTGCCCTGCAACAGGCGACCACTCCACACACATGGACTCTTGGGCAGTGCCAGGAGGGCCACCCCCATGAGTCAGAGGGTGCTGCAGTAAGATCCCCCTGGACCCATGGGATGAGGTGGCTCTGGCACTACTACTGGAGAAGGAAGCTCCTCGATCCCGTAGGATACACTCGGGCCAGGGTCCAATGCTTCCTCCTCGTGTAATGTATCAAACTTCACTGCCCAGTCCCTTGTCCTGCATGCCACTCAGCTCAGGGCATGGGACCACAGCCCAGGGTCACAGACTGTGAGCTTCTAGAGGTGGGCGTGTTGCTATCATAGCCCTTATCAAAGCGCCCACATCTCATTCACCTGCTCACCAAGCTTAAGAACAAATGGGCTCATCAATTAAAGGATCAGAAAGTAACCAGCCAGAACAGGCAAAACAGACTGCAACATGGGTAGCTGCCTTCCCAAACAGTCCTAGAACATTCTAGAAAGCCAAAGGAAGGTTCCATGCCTGGCAGGCTCTGGGAAGGCTTTTGAAAGTGAGGGCATATGAGTATGTGCTGGGGAATGAGGCAAAGAAAAGCTTTGCTCCTTGCTGGGGAGAAACGCCACGGGGACAGCTTTAGAAACTCCAGGCAGAAAGTGGCCAAGTGGACCTGGGCGAACAAAGAACTGAGCGAGTGGAAAGTGCCTGGAGTAGCAGCTGGGACTGGGGCTGATGTGGGACAGCCATGGCATGGGAGAGCCGGGGGACCCTCGGTTGGGCTGGAGCCGGGGGGCCCTGACATTTACCATCGCGTCCGGCCATCCCCGGGGCCCTCGGAGCCCGTGTGCAGGCGGGGGAAGAGCCCCGAGCGTCGCTTGATGGGGCTCCGCGACTGGTTCTTTGCTGTTGCTGCCACTACTGGAGGCTGCCGAGGAAATGACCAGAGTGAGTGCCTCTGCCCAACCCTTCCCTTCATTCCTGGTCTGCAGATGGCTCCCGGTCTAGAAGGGACCCCCGAAACAGCAAGAGAGCTAGGATAACTGGGAGTAACCCCAGAGGGGTTAAGACCCAAGGCCCCACCACACACAGTCACTTCCTAGCCCAGGTCAGACTCCAGCAGAGATGGATCTGGGGGTGTAGACCTGGCCCATCCAGAAAGCCAGGCTGATTCAGGCAGGGTCTTACAGACTGAGAACCACAAAGCCAGAAAGCCCTTGGAGTGGCCAGGCTCCCCGGAAGAGGACGAGAGGACCACAGAGGCCAGGACACGTTGGCAAGGTAACCCAACAGGCCCCTGGCAGCACGAGGACCAGCCCCAGGGTTCCTACACTGGAATGAGCGAGAAGGGCGGCCACCTACAGGGCCAGGCCCACAGGCGCCGACAGGTGGGGGTCACCAGCTAGAAGGTGTCTGCTGCTCACCAGCACTCGGCTTCACGGTGCGGAGGTGATGGGGACAGCAGGGTGGTGGCAATTCAGGAAGGACAGACGGGACAACCTGACCCTCCTTGCAACCTGCCAGACTGCTAACCTGGGCCCCAGCCATGACCCTGCAACCTGGGACAAAACTCCCTGTGCCCCAACTTCCCTCTGATTCAGAATCCTGTTCATCTTTCAGGACCTCCCAGGAGGAGCAAGGAAATGGTTCTGGAATTATCTGGTGACCGTAAAGAACCATGCGAGGCAAGTCAGAATAGAAATGGTTACCAGGGGACAAGGCCAAAGCCACTTTGCTCCGAACAAGGATCAGTCGCCCAGGCCCTCCTCCTCGCACATACTCCAGGTCAGGCAGACCTTCGCTCATATCCAGCCCCTCGGCAGAGCCGGGGGCCCCACGCAGCAAGTTACTGAACCCCTCGGGTTGCCCGTTTCCTCCCACAGGAGCACCCACTTGGGCAGCTCTCTCGGGAGCAGGGAGGAGCTGGTGCCCAACAGGCTGCATTGGTTACACCTGCTGTGATCAAACACACAGCACGGGTATCCCTCAAGGCCAGAGGCAGCGGGGAGGAGTGGGGAGAGGGAGGGCAGGATGGCACTGCAGCCTTGGCCTCCAGGAAGCTCAGAGGACAGGACAAGTGGGTGCCCAGCCCTGGCCTGGGTATCGCCTACAATGCACACCTCACAAACACCATTTTCACAGGCCAGCAGCTGGGCTCCCTGCAGGCAGCCTAGGTCGTTCTAGCCCAAGGCTGGGAGGGGCTCTCTCTATACCCTGTGAGTTAGTGCCAGGGGGCTTGCTATACTCACCGAGAAGGTGGTCTTGGTGACCTCCATGTTGTTGTGGGTGATGCCCCCGCTGAGGCTGCCCGGGATGCCCCCGCCATGCAGCTTCCTCTGGCTGCCTACCATGGTTTCCATGGAGTGGCTGCGCACCCGGATGGCTCTCTAGGGAGAGATGACCAGGGCCAGGATGACAACCCTGCCCTGTGTGGGGCCTGCACACGCAGGTACTGGCCCATGGAAGAACACACACACACACACACACACACACACACACACACACACACACACACAAAACCATCACTACAGCTTACAGGGTTTCCATTCTCTATCCCATGAGCATGGCCAGAGACCGTGCTCAGATCCATGGACATGGGTTAAGAGTCTGTAAAAATAGATTCAAGTCAGAGTTACACAGAGGCAGGAAGAGTCACAGAAACATCTCTCCGCTGGTTCACACCCTTCAATGCCTGCAACAACTAGAGCCGAGTCAGTCCAAAGCCAGGAGCTTCTTCCAGGTTTCCCACCTGGATGCAAGGAGCCCAGACACTTGGGCCATCTTCCTCTGTTTTTCCAGGCACATTAGCAGGAAACTGGTTCTTAAGCAGAGAAGGCGCTCATAAGGGACTCCAGCATTGTAAGTGGCAGCTTAACCTGCACAGCCACAGCACCGGCGCTAATGGTCATATTCTCATCTTACAGGTGGAACTTGGATAAGCCCAGCAAACCTGTGCAGCTCTGGTCCAGGATCAACACCTTTCTCACCTGTACACTCAGGTGGGATCATGATGGAGATTAAACAGGTGCCTGGGCTTTAACTTTTTTCCAGAAAGTTCTGCTGCCTTCTCTGTGTGTGCATTGGACTGCCCTCTGTTGCCTTCCTAGAGCATGCTCTGTGCAATGCAGATTGCACATGTCTGCAGGGAGCCTGGCCAGGCACCCCTCCCCATCCGTGCACCGAATCATGTGCCCCACTCGTGCTCACGGCAACAAGATGCGCCTCTACCGCCTGCCTCTAGCTGGGCACGGCTGCTGGAGGGAGGGGCTGCTCGCTCTGGCTGGGCACAGGGTCTCCAAGGGCAGGAGCGCCTCTGGCCACACCCCCAGCCTCGTGCTGCCTTAGCCCAGGACAGTGGGGGTCTTTCCCTTGGGTGGGTCCCTGAGCCTGCAGTGGGATGGTCATGGCAGGCAAGTGTTCCTCGGCCCTGAGCAAGTCCCCATGGAGGATGCCCCCAAGCTCCAGGCATCTTCAAAGACAGCACGGGAGTCCTGGGGAAAGGAGTCGTCATCTCTGGTGACCATCAAATCCTTACATCACCCTGAGTGATCCTGGTGGTGCCCATGCAGATGTTACAGTTCCCTATCCCTGAAGGGGGGCTGTGGGATCCCCCCAGGGTCCCTACCAGGCTGCAGCTCCAGGGGTCGCACCACCCCAGATAAGGTGCCCCTGCCCACAGTACCTTGGACCATGCAGAGCCCTTGCCGCCACTAGGGGGCAGGTCAGACCAACACATCACTCTCTAGGCCCTGGGAAGCTGGCAGACAAGGACCCACACAGCTCGCTTCTGCTGTTGCCAGGGCTGTCTGGGTGGCCTCCTCCTCCTCTCTCTCCATTTACCGCTGGAGGGACCGAAGCAGACCTTAGCAGAGTGTGAGGGACAGACGGCACAGCCCAGGGCCAGGTGGTTCCACCTCTGAGCAGAAAAAGGATGCTTGTTCCCTGCCCACCCACCCCCCCCCCCCCCCCCCGCAGGCAGGAAATGAGCAGCTGAGATCTCGTCCAGCCCCGCCTGTGAGGTGAAACTTGGATGAGAAGGAGGAAGTGTGTGCAGCCTGCCTTCCTGTCGTCATCTCAGAACCAGCTCCTCTAACAGGGACCTCAGGGAGGGCTAGGTGGCTGAGGAACCCCAAGAATGCTGACCCCACTCCTCCATCCAGGACCCCCAAAAAGGAATAGCACGGCAGACGGACCCAGACCCGGGGGCCAGACCGAGCATCAGGATCCCTCGAGGGTGGGTGTTGGGCCTAGTGGTGACAACAGCACTTAGCAGTCCCATTCAGGAGGACCTGGGTTCAAGTCCCAGCCTGCCATTCAACTTTGGCCTCCCTGGGAGGCAGCAGTGAGGGCTCCATAAGTAAGGCCTGACCCCAGCTCTGCCTTCTTCCCCGAGCAGTGACGACAGTCCTCCCACAGGACTCGGGGACAGGGCTGCTGTGCCACGCAGCATCAGGGCTGTCTGGCACCCACAGCTGCAAGAACGTAGGGCTGAGAATCCCCCGGGTTACAGGCTCCACCCCAAGCCGTGTGCTTAGGTCTCCAAGCATTTGTGCTCTTAGACATCCCCCTAGGAACCCATCAGACCGTGAGTCAGACACAGGCCAGCAGCCACACCTGTCAGGCCAAGCAGCCTAGGGCACCGCCCTTGAAACCCGCAGGGCTGTGTCCAGCTGCTGGCCTATCCTGACCCGTGGGCACCACAGGCAGCGCCCCCAGCCCACAAGCAAATATTTGAATCAAAAAAAAAAATCACCTCCAAAATGCACTGTGAAGGGGGCAGTGCCATATCAGCATATGTCAGTGGGTGGAGCCTCCCTGTGGCCCCTCGTCAGGCCCAGCCCACTCTCCTGGGTATGGCATCTCGTGGCCTCCCCTCTCCTGGCTGGGCTCCCAGGTCCCTCCCTGGTCCTCTTCTCCATTTCCTATCATGTTCCCCGACCCCCCCACCCACCCCTCTGGCTCACCCCGGCTGTCACTGTCCATGCCTAGGAATCCCGGGCGAGCCTGAACAGGCAGCCCAGAGCTGCCAACCTCCCAACCTCCAGAGAAATCCTGGCAGCTGGCTCCAGCTAGGGCCACCAAGGCCCAGCCCTTGCTGGTGGCAAGCGGCCAACCACAGCCCTGGCCCAGACTTGCGTGGGCGGGGGCTTCCCTGAGTTGGACACTGCTCTCTGTGGGCGTCGAGGGCAGACCCAGACTCAACGTGGCCTCCTGGGTGAGTTGGGACCATTACCAAGTCTTATTTTCCTCCTAGGTAAAACCACCCTTGTCAGCATCAGATGTACAAATGATTATATTCAAACAACTGTGACTTGGCCCTAATAACAGCCTTCCTTCGGGGTGCTGAGGCCACCATGAGGCGCACAGGAGCGTGTGTGTTAACCTCCCGTCTACACAGCAACACTGACCGGGGACACTGCTGAGCTGCTGTGGAATCCCCAGCACCCCACAGTTTTCCAGGCATGACTTCAACCGTGAGAAGCCCTAATCCTTGCCTCCCGAGAACACCCCAGCTCAGAGATAATAAAGACTGTGCTAAGGCCAGGGTCATAGTACACTGGGGTTTTGATTGGATATCAGTAAGGGCTCACACTTCCCTTTCTGAATCATACCTGCCTGTAGCACACCTGGATTGCAACTAGCTTGCTCCCACCCAGGGAGAAGGGTCCCCAGCAGGTCTGATCCCCCGTGTGTAAGGGGCAACCACAGGACCAGCTGGTTCAAATCCCATGCTGAGTGCAAGCGCTGTGTGCAGCAACAAGCACCCAGCCAGCACAGGACAAGGGCCCCAGCTCTGCCCCCAGGCCACTGCAGCAGCTGCCCAGGCCCCCTCTCGAATGCTCCGCGGGACAGAGAGCTCACTGCTCCTCTCAGTAGCTCTTTCTTTCGCAAAGCCAAAAGAGAATGGCCCCGTAGCTGATCAGTGTGTCACTGGTCCAGCCATGTCCTCCAGTGCCAGGCCAGCTGAGCAGTCATCACAGACCCTCCCAAACACACACACACACACACACACACACACACACACACACACACACACACAGTAGCTGCTGAAGATCCCTTGGCCTTGCAACCTGCCTACTGCCCACCTGCCCTGGGCTCCCGGCCACAGAGGGAAGCCGATGGAATCAGTCACATCCCTGCATTGCACCTGCTCCTCTCCCACTGTCCACTCTTGACCCTGCCCTGCCACTCCATCTCCTGGGCCAGCAGAGGATGATCCAGGGCCGAGGACGCGTGTGAAGGATGTTGGAGACAGTGCTGGCTGCATGCCAGCCCCTGGCACTCCTGATGGCCACGGCCTTTGGCTGGCACTGGGCTCTAGGGTTGGGAGTCCAGTGACCTGGGGGCCACTTCCTTTCTCTGCCCACCCCTGTCATGCCTGTGTCCTTACCTTGAAAGACTCCAGGAATCCCCCATGGCCTCCGTTCTCAAACTTGTCCTCCTCAGGGCCCAGCCCCAACATGGCCTGGGTGTGCGTGTGCAGCTCATCATGAAGGTTGTCCAGGAGCGCTGCCCTTGTCCGGTCCTAGGCAGGGGGAGTGGAGGAGCTGGCACCAAAAGCAAGCAGGAGCCTGGGCTTTGTGGGCTCCGGACACTCAGCCAGGGCTACCCACCTTCCAGCTAGCAGACACCAGAAGGAAGGTGCAAGCTCCATGTCCAGACCCTGCTATCACCCCTCTGTCCCTCCTCCATGGCCTCCTGTGACACGCCCCACTCCCCGCCACAGTGCCCCCCTCTGCCCTTTCTCTTCTGCCCTGAGCCCAGCTCTTATGCGCTCTGCTCCAGGTATTCATCCAGGGGCAGGGAGCGCCAATTGACAGAGTCCAGCGGGCACCTCCAGGACAGCTGCCAGACCCCTCAGGGCCAAGTAATGCCCAGCTCTGAATGCATGCAAACGTCCCAGCTGGGACTAACCCTTTCCACACTTCCTTCCTAGTAAAAGGTTCATCAGGAAGCTTGCCTAGAGCCGCCCTTTTGCCCACCAGGTGGCAGCAGTGAGCCTCCTCCGTTCAGGGCTGACCCTCACCACCCACCCAGGACCACCACACTGTACTACCACTGTCGCTTCCGGATCAGCCCCCTGCCCACCAGCCTGGGACACAGGTGCTCAACAGGTGACTGGGGAATGGTGAACCAGGTGGTTTCCGTAAGAAGAAAGGTGAGGCCTGGGGGCTAGGGGGACAAAGACAGAGCTCCCCAGCTTGAACAGCCCCTCGATTAGCTGACCGGCTGGGGAGGCCGAGGGACGCTCACCTCCAGCTTGGCAAACTTGTCTGACTTGCAGCAGGCGTTCTCGGCATTTGTGAGCTTCGTCAGAAGAAACTCCCTAAACTCCGGGCCCTGGAACAGACCAGAGGTGACCAGGTCTCTCCCAGCCTCGGCAGATGCCACCCGGGAATGGGCAAGGCAGACAGGGCTCTGGGCAGAACCCCAGAAGGGTCCCTTCTGACACTGCATTGAGTCACTGCACCAACTTAAAAAGCCGCTCCCCTGCCTGACCTGACCATCCTCCCCACCTCCCCAGTGGCCTCCAGTCATGGGGCCTCTCCTGCCTGCCCAGGCTCCAGGCTGAGCACGGTTTCACAATCCTTCCTTTGGGCCCGTGGACCGGGCCAGACAGCATGAGGTGAGCTGGGAGGAGACCTCCCCGCTAAACCTGGCCAAGGACCTCTCTAAAACCCCCAGCCCCAATTCTACCTGCTCCAACTGCTGCCATGGAACCCTGAAAAGCTGAAGTCCTGGACATGCGGGGCAGAAAAGAAGAGATTCTTACCTTCTGGAAGACAGGCGGGCTGGGCAGAGGCGGGCCAAAGGCAGGGACGTCTTCCCGGGCGGTGACAGACACCTGAACGGAACACAGAATCACACGTGGGTGCAGGCTGGGAGGGAGGGGTAGCAGAGCTTTGGGGGGGGGCCTCTGGGGAACTGTGTTTGTCACTGCTAACCTGTTCATCTTCTGCCTCCTCCCTTCCCCAGAACACAAACACCCAGCGTGCAGCAGGCCCGCAGGCCCCGCCCCAGGAGTGGGGCAGGTAGCAGAGCCCTCTCCATGGTCAACTTGGCCTTCCTGGAGGCCACGAGTAAGTGGAGCAAGATGAACAGACATGAGCTGAGGAGCAGCCTAGGAGCCACTGACAACACACTGCGAGGCCGGTGCAGGGGGTACACCATACCCCGGGCAGTGCAGATGCAAGGCCTGGAAAAGGCATCAGAGTCATGACTATCCCTGTGTACCTGGCAAGGAAATGGGTGCAATAGCCCAGGGCAGTCCCAGCCACACCAATGAGAGGCGCAGACAGAACCTGGGGAGAGGGGAAGTGCAGACTGCACGGGCTCCCCACCCATGCAGGGCGAATGGCAAAGCCAGGAGCCTGGCTCTGGGAGCTGGTCCTCACACAGGCTCCAAGTCGCAGAAGCTCCAGGACCCAGGCTGGAGGGGTAGGGGATGAGGGGACATGGAGGCCCTGGATGGGGTGTAAGTCCCCAGAACAGCAGTGGTATGACAGTTCCTTTATCCCCTTGCTGCAAAGTGCCCTGGTTTCACCTGCTCCCACATTCTGGGAGACTGAGACGCCAACCCCTCCCTTCCCCCAGCGAGTGGCTGCTGTTGATGGCCATGGGGCCCTGGCACGCTGCCAGCCCTCAGCCTGGGAAGGGGGGCAGATGCAGAGTTTGCCAGCCCGGGTGAGCAGGCAGCTGGGAGCCACGCCAAGGAAAAGCCCTGCCAGGGTCCGCAGGGGGAGACAGCGGAGAGTCTGGGTCGGCGCAGGCTTCCGCTCCCCGAGCGCAGCGCTGTCTGCCTGGCCCAATTTGCATTGCCGAGTCAGGACACGCTGAGGTCAGGCACACGTCATCTCGGGCTGGGTTTCAGCTGCAGAACCCAGTTCCCTACCACCCCCCAGTGACTGGTGGCCCACGTCAAGAATTCCAGCCACGAAGCCAGCATCGGGAGCAGGACCCTGGGAGGGCCACAGGGAGACTGCCAACAGTGGCACCTGGGACAAAGGACAGAGGCCAGGCAGTTGCTCCCCTCCCCCACAGTGTGTCTCTGCTGATGGCGGAAGGGACGTTCCAGCTGTCCTTCAGTGCACCTGCGTCCCCCAGCCAGGCAGCCGGGCCTGGGAAACACCAAAGCAGTTCCCCCTCACCATCCCCCATACCCCCTGAACCCATTCCAACAAGGCAACCAGGCTCTGGGGTCCCCTCCTCTTGGGGACGTTGGGGTTGCTTTTGGAAGCAGAGGTTGCCTGCAGACAACCCCACCTTCCTGCTTTGCAAACTGAGCAAGGCCTTAGGGAGCGACAGCAGGGGCATTCAGACTGGGCACGGAAGACGGGAGGGCGCGGAACATGGAGGGCAATGTCCCCTTGCACAAGAGTGGACAGAGTAGTGGGGACTAAATCCCTTCCTGAAAGCACAGCCCGAGCATGGCATCCGGCACACCTGCAGTGAGGACCCCAGGCTGCACAGCACAAACTCCACTGGCTCTGCGGCCTGGCGCCTCACGTGACATCAGTTGGCAGGTGGATTTGCTCACTTATGAAATGGAGCTAAGGAGACCTGGCCTTCCTAGGCCCTTATTAGCCTCAGCTGCCAAGGCCCAGCAGAGCCCCTGGCAGCAGAAAGCATTTTTTCCTGCTGACCGTGCCTTGAAAAGGGCACCTGAGGCAGTTTCCCAAACCATTTCACATGACATCACATTTGCACACACAAGTGCACAGACGCACACACACACACATACCTATGCATGCCCAGGCACACATGTTGTGCACACCCTTTCTAAGCTCCTTCCTTCCTCTCCCACAGCATATCCTGGCTGGAAGGAACTCACAGGTCCTTGACTCAAACTTCCTAGTTTCAAAGAAACCAAGACCCAGAGGAGAAAGGATTTGACCCTGGATCCCACAGCAGTCACAGGCGGACAAGGACCAGAGCCTGAGGCTGCCAAGCCGCCTCTGCGGCCCTACCCTGCACCTTCCGCCTGATCTCTGCCCTTTCCCCATTTCTGACTGCCTGTCTTCCCCAGTGGAAGCTTCCAGATGCCTCACTCAGCCCCTGGGGAAGCCCCACCCTCCTGCAGGGGTCAGCGAAGGTCCTGCATTCACCTGTCCACCCTGGAGATCTAACCAGTCCCCCTTCTAGTCTGCACATTACATGGCCTGCTGCTGGGGGCATGGACAGAGGGCGCTCTGGACAGCGCCTTACGAGGTCCTGGACCCAATCGCAGGCCTTGCCCTCCGACCTGGATGCCTGTTGGGCAGGTGGAGTGCAAGGTTAAAGTCCCACAGCCTGGTAACTCCACATCACCATGGCCCCGCTTCGCTGCTCCTCACCACCTCTCAGGACAGGGCTCAGCCCTGGACTGCAGACTGCAACTTGGGAGACCAGGAAGAAGCTCAGGGCATCACAGCCGGAGCAGGGGATCAGAGTTTCGAGGGTCCCTGCATCCTCTCTGCTCAGCCCTCAGGAGAGTGGGAAAGCCAGTTCTCAGAGGTCTAGTTCCTGGGGGAGTGAAAGCACTCAACGTGACCATCCTTACAGGTGACCCTGAGGGTCTGAGAACCCTGCACCCTCACAGCCCAGGATGACCTTTGCCACCAGCTGCTGAAAGAACCACCTGGTAATTGGCTGCCAGCGCTGCTGCCCCTCCCCTGAGGTTAGAAGGACCTGATGGCCACTGCAGTACACAGCTCCCCTGGCCCTGCCCCAGCCCAGTGCTCTGCACACAGCAGGTGCAGAACCACCTCACACATCGTATTCATCTCTAACAAAGCAGGTGACCCCTCGCCCCATGGCCATCAAGGACACACCCACACCACAGCCACTCAAAACTTCCTCCAGGAAAACGGCCACACAGAGAAACTGGCTCCTTTCAGCAGGGAGGAGCCGTTTTTGCCCTCTAAGTCCCATATTTGACTTTCAGAGTCGATAGGAATGTCAAGCTCAGTATCTCCAGACTGGCCCTCGTCTCCCAAGGACATCCCAGCATCACACATTGCAGCCGTCAGGAGGGGCCCTCGAGGGGCAGCCAGCACACCGCGGCTTGCCTCATCCCCGTCGTGTGTGCTCACTGCCCAGGGACAGTATCCTTGCCTCCCTGTAAGTCTTGGCGTTAAGATCCACCAGCTTGCAGATGGCCGATGGAGACTCACATAAGGACCACGGGGCCAGCCAGGTGCCTCCTGTCACCCTGTACCCCAGGAGCACGCCCCTCACCCTTTCTGCCCTTCCTCCTCTCCCTTCTCCAAGGTCCTGCCACTCTCTTTCACTCCGGCTCTGCTTCCCTTTGGCCAATGGCCCTTCCAGAATCCACACATGGGTGCTCAGGGCTCTCCAGCCCCTGCTCGGAACGGCTGGGAGGCTGTCGAAGGGGCAGCTCTCTCACCAGAGCCCCTGCTTGCTCTGCAACCCCAGAGAGCCCCAGGCCAGAGCACAGCCCGAGGAGGCAGGGAGGATGTGCGAGCGCCAGCGTCATAGCTGAATCTGCACATGCGCGGAGCTGCAGGGGACCCCCTCCAAGCTCTTGTCCTCGGATGAGGTCCTCCTTACCTTGTAGGATGGGATCTCTGTGCCAGAGGCCTCTGCCTGCACAACGATGTAGGCGTGTAAGAAATTGGAGGCGATCATGTCTGGGACAAACGGCGTGTTCTCTTCTTGGAAGATGATGGCCACGATGTCATTCCCAATGTGTCTCTTTCTCTGCAGCTGAACACAAAGCATCCAGGTGGCATAAACCAGCGAGGAACACCCCACAACCAGAACAGACCCACACAGGGAACTCCTCCTCCTGGCTTCACCTCTTACACAGAAACCCTGCGAGCCTGAGACCACACTCTCCAGGCAGCTGTCGTCTTCTCTCTTGGGGAAAGATGCTCACACTTTGCCAAGCTCTGACCCGGGCCCAGACCACTGTACACAGGGGGGCAGCTCTTGCCCTGGCAGAGCAGGTGAAGCCAGGTGGGAACTCTTAGAGGGCCGCCAACTGGCAAGCCCTAATCTGGTTGCTGCACAGACAGTTCTAGATAGCTCTGGGGATGCATAGATTGGTCTAATCAAACAGCAATCCCAGAAGGCTTCCTGGAGGAGGAGATGAGGGTGCTGAGGGTCTTGATGGGAATATGAATGAATAGGGATGAGAAAAGAGCCTCCTACAGGCCACCTGGCTTGGCAGGGGTGGAGCAGAGCTGAGAGGAGGCAGGGTGTAGAGGAGAAACAGCTCTGGGTCAGTGCCCTGTGCTTTGGCACATGATGGCGGCCAGCCACCAAGCACTTCCTGTGGGTCACATGCTGGGCTGCTCACAAACCTACCTTCCAGTGTCCAACCCTCCCTGTGCACCAGTGAGGTGCCCACCCATGTTGCTGCTCCTCCAGGAGGCACGTTGCTGCAGGCAAGCCCTCCACATCAAGTTGCTTGTCCGCCAAGCACCTGCCTAGCACCAAGCATCGCGCCAGGCACTTTTACCAAACCGCCTCACTTCTGCCCCACATGTCCTCCCCTTTTTTAGGGAGAGAAAATTAATATTGACTCAGTCCCCGCCAAGAGCCACGCTTGGTGCCAAGGTATACTTCCCAGCTCAAACACCGAAGACTGAAAAGGCCCTGCAGAAAGGACTTCAGCCTTGGTCGGGCAGCAGGGTAGGGCACCGCAGGGCACAAGACGGCAGGGCATGCACTCTGAGAAAGCCCAGGATGGCACCAGTGGAGTCTGGTCCCACCTGCTTCTGGGCCACACAGGAATGTTTGGGAGGCAGATCAATCACTATTTCCTTCGCCAAGTTCCTACTTTCTTAAGAAGCTGGGCACTATGTTGGCAAGTTTGCATCTGTACTCGGGCCCCAGTCGCAAACACAGAGGTCAGAGTCTGGGCAAAGGCCCAGCTGCCCTTCTGGTTTCCCCAGACACTGGCAAGGGGCAAGTAGTGGGATGGGGCCAGTGGTGTTATAGCCACCAGGAAGTAGCTGCTGCTTGTGGAAGGCTGCATGGCTGTCACAGCCACATGTCCGAGGGACAGCAAGAAAACACTGGAAACCAAGGTCTCATCCAGGCCCTCCCGCCTTGGCTCAGCAAGGACTGGCCAATGGCCCAAAGAGAGGCACGGCTGGAGAGGCGCCTGGGTAAGCTGGGGACAGAGAGGGAGCGGCATTCCTGCAGCCACAGTTTTTACGTAGCAGTGGTTGGAGGGGCTCCACAGTCATCCAGGGGCCTGCACACTCAGGGACTGCCATGAAGGGAGCCTGCCACCTGCCATACACCAGATGAGCCCCGAACTCAGCCCCTGGGGCAGCAGGGGTTGCCATCTCCATCTTACAGACAAGAAAAGTTGAGGGCCCTGGGTCAGCCATCCTGCTTGGAGTCATACCCTGAAGCAGCCTTCTGTGGTCCCATCACCAATTCTAACCCCCATCCTATAGGATCAGGACCCCCAGGCTCTGTTCCCAGCCTGGCCAGGGGAGACCCCCAGGGAGACTCATAACATCGGTTCTCCACCCCTCCCAACCCCGCACCCTAGCCAAGGCCTGGCCTCTGGCCTCTGGCACAGGCCTACTGGGGTGCATCTGGCCTGGGGAAATACAGCAACAGGACAGGTGATTGTTCTATTACAAAAATGGGGAGGGATGCAGCCCCTGGGAGCAGGTTGGGCAGGTCCAGCCTTCACCAGAAGTCCCTGCCAGATGCCCTGAGCTGGTTACCTGCTGGGTGTCTCCCTCAGTAAATGGCAGCTTTGTGGAGACATGAAACATGATTTCTCTGTCCCGGAAGGTTGTATACACCGATTCCACGCCTGTCTGTCCGTGCATCACATCCAGACCTCCACGGAAACTGTGGGTGAAATGGGGCACGAGTGAGGGGAGAAGAGGGTGAGAGGCAGGCAAACTACTCTGACCATCCCTGGGGTTGCACATGGCACAGGTTGGACAGCAGGGGGTCAGCCCATGGGTAAAGCAGCGTCCTCTTGAAGATCTGACCTGGTGTTCTAACCGTGAAGTCATCACTTAATAGGCAAGGGGATGGGTGTCCAATAACTAGACACCCTGTAAGAGATCTATACCCCATAGCCTAGAGCCTGAGTTCAAGTCCCAACTCCTGCTCCTAATTCTAGCTTCCTGCCGGTGCACCCTGTGGCAGGCAGCAGGTGATGGTTCAAGGGGATAGGTCCTTAGATGGAGCACCCAGCTCCTGGATTAAGCCTTACGCAGCCCTAGTATTGCCAGCATTTGGGGAGTAAGCCAGCAGACGGAACACCTCCCTCTGTCTCCGCCTTTCAAATTAAGTAACTTTAATATTAAAAGACAAAGGGCGACTGTCCACATCAAGCCCTGGCTGTGTCCCCTCCACACCGACAGTCACGTGGGAAAGGAGACTGATCACTCACAATCCTGCCTACATGCCATCCCAGGTGCCAGTGTCCTCCCAAGGATGGGCACGGGACTTTGTGCCCTGCAAGACCAAGAGCTGGGACAAGCAGCGGGACCTCCGGAGTCAGCCAGTTCAGGGTGGCAGGTGCTGCATCGCTACACAGCCAGCCCCAGTGGAGATCACGGCGCTCGCGGAAGGCCACTCCTCCAGCCATGTCTCCACAGACAGAAAAGGAGAGAAAGAAGGAACCCCAGGGCTTCTGGGACCTGTCCCCTGCCTTGACAGAAAGCTGGCTGCCCATCCTGCGCCACAGTCGCCAGCAGTGGTGAGCGAAGGCAGGCACAGGATTCTTGGAGAAAACGCAATAGGGGGTGGGCGTGCCAGGGCCTCAACTCTGCCAGGAAACCAGCTCAGCCCAGCGCGACAGCCAGGAGGCCAATCCTGCGCCCTGCTCCAGCCACTGAGTCGGACCAAGACCTCGGGTGTCCACTTCCTCCATCCTCAGAGTCCTTTATCCAAGACAGCAAGAGACAGGATCCAATCTCGGGGCCTCTGGGCCTCATACACTGGACCTTACCTACCCTCAGACCCACACTCTTGCACACTTTAACATCACAGAAGTCAAGCTGTGCCTTCGAACGACGGTGTCTCACCGTCAGTCGGGGTCATCCCCAGTGACAACACCTGTGCCTGTGTGTAGCCGCAGCGGAAGCACCTCCCACCCTCGCTCTGTCTTCACCCTGGTATGATCCTCCTCTCCCTTTGCACAGATGGGGAAACTGAGGTTTACAAAGGCATAGTCACAGAATCACAGAGCTAAAAAAGTGAAGTGGGGTGGCTGGAATTTTAGCCCAGGGATAACTGACTCCACTCAACAGCTATGGCCTTGAAAGGGAGGAAGACTCCACTCAACAGCTACGGCCTTGAAAGGGAGGAAGACGGAGCAAGAGGGAAAAGAAGAATAGATAGGACAGAGGGAAGTAGAGAAAGAGAGCAGACACCGAGCTCCTGCACGCCAGGCCCTGGGCTTGCATGCCGCCATTAGACATTCTTGTTGATCTGGCTGCTGGGCCAGGGGCCAGGGCCGGGGGTGATTCCAGCGCCCTGAGCCACCTGGCTGGCCAAATATGCCCTCTGCCAAGGAAAACCAAGTGCTGAAATTCTCCAGGAAGCAATTCCAATATCCTTTCTGTGCCTCCACAGTATCACAGGCCATCACATGCAGCTTAGGAGATTTGCATCAATGTTAATGACGAGCTGTTCCTTGTGCAGTATCTAAAAATGGGTCATTCTTTCCCCAGAGTTCCGAGGGTTCCTTTCCTTGACTGCCTGGCAGCTAAGTGACAGGGAGGTCAGATTCCTTTCACTCTGTCCGAGCCAAATCTAATCAGGAAGGCACACGGAGAATGCAGAGATGTCCTATCGTGGATCCAAACATCAGTGCCTCCCAAGAGGCCCTGCAGTGGCGGATTATCCGCGGACTTCCGGCTCCCAAGAGGTGCAGGTGAGGGCGTGCCGAGCAGCTACTACAGTCTGGGCTCCCTGGCGCGGGTGGCTCTTCCCAGCTGTCCCAAGGACTCAGCTGTCCACCACCTGCCTTTCCGGAGCCTCATGGACAGAAAGGCAGCTAGGGAGGCGCTGCTGTCATGGAGTGGCATGTGAAGCCGTCACTCACAAGGCCCACATCCCAAAGAGCACTGGTTCAAGTCCCGGCTGCTCCATTTCTAATTCAGCTCCCTGCTAATTGGCCTGAGAAAGCAGCAAACCCTTGGGCCCCTGCCACCTACCTGGTGGAGTTCCAGGCTCCTAGCTTCAGCCCACCACTGGCTATTCCAGCCACTTGGGGGTGAGCCAGTGGATGGAAGATCTCTATCTTTCCCCCTCTCCCCTCCCACCTTTTCTAACGCTCCTGGAGCCAAGGCGGGGCCGCAAACCCACCCTTTGAAGTCCTGCAGCGTGATTGTGTCCCCCAGCAAGTCCAGGAACTCCTTGAAAGCTGGGCTCTCCTCGTTGTTCCCAAAGAGCTCCTCCTCCAGGGTCTGGAAGAGAAACAAATGGGAACAGCAGTCAGGAAAAGCTTACATTTGTCCAGGAATCCCTGACCCCTAGCTTCCTCCGTAACTCCCAAGTTACACTGGCCATAGCGGTCCTCTGCCGAGGAGGGCAGCCACATGGAGGCCACTCAGCAGAGCTGGGTGTTCAAGGCTGCTTATCGAGGTCCTCCTGTTTGAACAAACCTGCTGGTCATTGGAAAAGCCAACTTGAGGCAGAGGTCTCAGCTCCGACGCCAGAACCAGGACCCACACACAGACAACTGAGGAGAGGACTCCCAGCAATGAACTGTCACCAGGAATACAGAGCCCTAGACAGAAGTATGCTGTGATCAGACCACAATGAGATACTGCTTCGCATCCACCAGTGTGGCCGTCACAAAAAGAAAGACACTAGCAAGCATCGTGGAGCTTGGAAAGAATCAGAACTTCGTTTTATACTGGGTGGGAATCACATCAAATGGAATGTTCAGAAGTGGAGGCTTGCCTAGCAGTTAAGGCACCTGCTAGCGGTGTCTGCCCCACTCTGAGTGCGCGGTTCTGGATCCTGACACCAGATCCCTGCTAATGCAGTCCCTGGGAAGCAGCAGGGATGGCTCGATTGGGCTCTTGTCACCCCGTGGGAAAGCCCGGCTCCCACTTTTGGCAGGGCCTGGCACAGCCATTGTAGGCATTTTGTAGGGGGCGCAAACTAGTGAGTGAGGATATGAGGGAACTTTCTCTGCCTCTCAAATAAAATAAATAAATTAATAAACAAATAAAATGGTGCAGCCAGACTGGTTAGTAGTCTAACATAGATTTATCCTACAACCAGTAATTTCAAAATCCACCCAAAAGAGTGCGTGCGACTATAAGCAGCAATGCATTTCAGAACAGCCGAAAAGTGAAGACACGGACACCAAGAGAGCGCTCTCCGTCTGGCCACAAACAGGCCTGAGGTTTTGATCCGTGCTACCACACGGGTGAGCCTTTAAAACCCATCTCAGTGAAAGTGGCCACACAGCAAGGCCGCCCACTAACCACGTGTGATTCCATTGACCAAAGTACACGCTGGAAGTAGATTCGTGGTGACCAAGGAGCCCAGGGCGGAAGAGTTACCGCAGACGGGCACTGCACCGGGTTTCACTGGGGACTGGTGAAATATTCCAGAATTAGACGGCGATGATCACCGACCCACTCGGTGGCCACGTCACAAACCAGCGAGTCGTTCACTTCCTGGGCTATAATTCACATTCTACCGGGAATCACAGATGAGATTCTACATCAATTCAGCTCCTTTAGAAAAAAGGCTGAAATTCAACAGGCAGGACACATTTCCATTAGAAAGAGCCCAAAGACATGGAGGGGCTTTTCGCCCCAGCGGAAACGCAGGTGACAAATAAGTACAGGAAGCCACGTTCCACACCACGAGCCGTGGAGACGTCACGAAGGCCTTAAGGAGAGACCACCAGCATCTATTTGTGTGGCTACAACAGAAACCACATTGGCTGTCGACATGGCACGGAGCGCTGGCTAAGGAAACAGGAGCTTGCACTCCCGCTGAACCCTGCGTAGAAATGTCCCCAGCAGCTTTCCTGGGCTCCTGCCACGCCGACAGCCTCCCAGGCATCCTTCAGTGGGTGCACGGTTACACAGACCCAGGTGCACTTGTGACACAGTGACCACTCAGCAATAAAGAGACCCTGACTATACACCCAAGCACACGGATGGATGTTGCTGAGAAAAAAACAGCCGATCCCAGGGCAGGCGCTCTGTGGCACAGCGCGTGCACCCACCACATGGGAGGCCAGTATCCCACATCAGAGCACGGGTTCAAGTTCTAACGACTTCCCATCCAGCCTCCTGGGAAGGCAGTGGGTAAGGGCCCTTGCCAGCCATGTGGGAAACCCAGATGGAGTTCCAGTCTCCTGGCTTTGGCCAGCTGTTACAGCCATTTGGGGAGTGAACCAGTGAATAAACGATCTCCCTTTCTCTGTCTTTTCCGTCAATAAATGTGTAAAACAGAAACAAAAATAGCCAGTCCCGAAAGGTTAAATGTATACAATGTGTACATGTATATGTAAAGAACATTTTTGATATAACAAAATTACATATAAACAAGTTTTTTCAATAGTAATGCTTTTTGAAATAGGAAAACAGATGAGCAGGCTGCCCATTTAGGGACTGGAAGGGGGAGGAGAGCAGGGAGAGTGTGGGGAGAGCATGCTGCCCCACAGACACAAAGACCCCCTGCAGTGGTAGACTTCCAGCTCTTGACCAGGGAAACTACACTTGCCACAGTCACACAGCAACATGCATAGCCTCCCACACACACGAGCAGGGACAATGTTAGGGAAGCATGTGTCAGGCCTGGACATTGCATCACTGTCCATGCCCTAGCTGTGACATTGTGCACAGCCCAGTGCCAGAGCTTCCTCTGTACCCATCCTTGTGGCCACCTGTGGATCTATAGATGCCTACAAACCAACAGTCTATGGTGGGAAGAGAGCAAAGCTGAAAATAGCAGCGAGCTCTGTACACCGTGTCAGGCTCACAGCACCACCGGCCAGGTCTGATGACCAGCTCGGCCCCCAGCGGCAGGATCCACAGATAGCAGCAGGCTCTGCAGACATCCGTTGAGCCACAGCGACCCACTGCACGCAAGAACATGCCTGTCTGTCCAGGAGCAAGTCCCAGTAGGTGTTTCCGCATTACCTCCCTAACACCTGCCTCACAACAAACAAGACAGACCCCTGGCTTCTGAGCCCTCTTGGGCAGTAGAATCCAGCAGATGCCAACACTTTTATTTCGTTAATTTGTCAGTATTTCTTCTCAGAATCACTCTCCTTTCATAGCAAGTGACACTAGCTTTACAGTTTGAACAGCAATTTATTATTTCTCTTTTTAAATATGTATTGATTTTTATTCGAAAAGCGGCTTTTACAGAGAGGAGAGACAAAGAAGGTCCTTCATCCACTGATTCACCCTCCAAATGGCTGCAAACAGCCAGAGCCGAGCTGATCTGAAGCCAGGAACCAGGAGCTTCTTCTGAATTTCTATCCCACTTCCATTCAAGCTCCCTGATAATGGCCTAGAAAAAAACAATGGAACATGGCCCTGCCTCCCATGCAGAAGACCCAGGTAAAAATCTTAGTGCCTGGCTTCCGCAACCTTGACCATTGCAGCTGGAAGAGTGACCCAACAGACGTCTTTCTCTCTCTTCTTCTCTCTGTAATTCTGCCTTTCAAATAAATAAATAAATATTTTTTTAAAAAATTAAATGAATGCATTAAAGTTTTTCCAAAATCTTTTAAAGTGGCACTCACAGAACACACCCTGTGATAAAGTGCTAAATGTGCTTTACAAATGTATTTGGGGAACACTGCTTCATGATGGGGGTCCACAAACTATGGCCCATGTACCACGCCTGGCCTGCTGCCTCTTGGTTTTTAGGATTTAATTCCTTTTTAAATTATTTGAAAGGCAGAGCGACAGAAAAAGAGGGAGAGAGAGATCTTCCATCAGCGGATGGAATGACCCCCAACCTTTGATAACCAAGACAAAAACAGGAGCCAGGAACTGCCCCCAGATCTGCCACGCTGGTGGCAAGAACTCAGATATTGAGATCTGCCTCCCCTCCCAGGAACATTAGCAGGAACCTGCATCAGAAGCAGGGCACTCCGTCATGTAAGCTGGTATTACACATGGCCACTTAACCCCCTTGCACCCCAGCACCAGCCCCTTTCTACACCTGAAGTTCCACTGGGAAATGTCAGGGTAACCTGTTTACCTGCTACTGGTAGCAGCTTTTACCCTACCAAAGCAGAGCAGAGCTACTGCGATGGACACTCCAAGACCCACCAAGCCTGAAACAAGATGCCATTGGTCCTTTACAGCAAAAGCCAGCTGATCCCTGACCGACAGCACACCAAACCATCCCAACTCTCCGGTAGCATTCCATCTGCCCTGAGTCATGAGGTCTGCATGTGAGTGAGCAGCTGCCTCCCGCCCACACCTGCTATTGGTGAGCCTCGTAATATGAGGGAGATAGTTTGTGTAGCCCATCTGATTATTTTTACTTACTACATTTTAATTTTGCTCAGCACTGCTGACACAATACACTCCCCTCCCTGCCTCCATTAAAGTGTCTTGCTTGTGACATTAGCATTTGTGATAGCCCCAGAACAGTGCGTGTTCTGGGGCCTACATCTCTCTCCCGGGTCATACCCGCTCTGACATCGTGACTGTCATCCACTCTCATTCCGGCCTCAAGCTCCACCGTGAATTCGGGAAAGGCATCGCAGTCCCCTGCAACCCTCATTTGCCATGTCCAGCACACGCGTGGCAGTCAGCAGCACCAAGCAAGCTTATTTATAGCCCAAGGCTGGCACAGGGCTTTTATGCAACACACATTCACATCAAATGCTCTCCAGCTGTAGGTCTGCAAAACCAACAATTTGCCGAATTTTTTTCTTCTAAAAGAAGTTTATCAGAACCCTCAGGACATGCTCCATATTGGGGACCCTGAGATGACATGGAGGGGCATTCCCCATTCCTGGGACTGGGGTGGTTGGGAGGCTTTCCTGCTGTCCCCCTCCCCACCCCCCCAGATATAGGAAGAAGATAAGGAAGGTGTGGAAGTATTGGTCTCACCCACTTTCCCCTAGTCCTCGACCCTTCCCACCCTAATCAACTGTGTAAATATCATCAAAAGTAGAATGGAAAAAAAATTAATGTTTAAGATAAAAGATGTTTGTCTTCCCAGCTTCCTCCTGTCTGCTCCCCACAGCAGCATCAGAAATGTGAACAACATGGATGGTGGATGCTCAGTCGCTGTAATGTTACCAGAACCCAGGATAAGAACATTGCTTTGGCAAATGTTACAAGCAAGAAACTTTAATTGAGTGGTGGTGCTGTGTTCCATCAGCAGTGCTGTGCAAAATGAAAATCTAATATGTGAAAACAATCAGAGTGGCTCCATGAATTGTCTCCCTCATATTATAAGGTTCCCCAGTGCTGGCCTTTCAGATCCCCAACTCTGCCACCTCATTAGAGCATTTTTAAGTGAGCACGTGTCCCCTGTGATCTGACATCTTCAGACACAGAAATCAGTTACCATCTAGCCTAGAAAGATGTCATCCTGCTAAATGTGGCGGATAATACGGGGAAGATGCTACCAACCGGCCACTGGCAGGGACCAACATGCTTCTCCATCAAGAGTTTATGGAATGCGGGGGTAGATACACAAAGAGCAGTGCTGGGCTCTCGGAGCATGTAGAGGCGGGAAGCTATGGAACCTTCTCTCTTGAAAACGAGGTGATATCAGCTTGTGTGGCAGAACAAAGGGAGGCACACAGTGGGAAAGAGGTTGGCATCTCAAGACGCTGAGCTCAGCACACCAGGGTGGGGGATCTTGGAGCTTTCAAGATGCCCCACTCAGGCCACTGGCTCACTGCACCAGTATCTCATGAACACACTCTGAGAAACATCCTCCCAACTGACCGATCCCTAGTCTGTGAGCGCCATGGGATCCAGGGTGAGCAGCTTCAGTAGCAAAACCCAGGAGCCCTGGTACCAGCCAGCTGCCCTGGTGGAAACACTGACAGCATGCCCGATCTCCAGCTGCCGCTATGACATCCCCGCACACACACAGCTGCACAGAGGTGCCCACAGCGGGCTCAGTACACCACTGCGGTTTGGGACAAGAGTAAATCCCCAGCTGGCTCGCCAGGGGTGAGCATGGGAAGAGTGGCCTGTGCTGATCCACTTCTTCCACCTAACCTGATTCTGTAACTGCGAACGCTGCGGCAGCACCCAAGGATGTGCAGGCTGTCTAGTGGGGAGCAGCCTTCCTCCATGAAGACCCTGCCACCTGCGGTCTAGTTCAGACTGTGAGCACTGATGGATATACTGTGCATGTTTAGGAATCTCATTCATGATGCCCACATCATGGCACAGTGGGTTCAGCTGGCAGCCTATCAGAACAGCACCTTGAGCCCCAGCTGCTCCACTTCTCATCCAGCTCCCTGCTAATGTGCCTGAGAAAGCATGTGGGGGTGGAGGAAGGGTTCTTCCTGTAGGTACCAGCATCCCATTCGGGGCCCGGTTTGTGTACAGCTGCTCAACTTCTAATTCAGCTCCCTGGGAAAGCAATGGAAGATGATTCAAGTTCTTGGGCCCCTGCACTCACGTGGGAGACCTGGAAGAGGCTCCTGGCTCCTAACTTCAGATCGGCTCAGCTCTGGCCATTGTGGCCGTTTGAGGAGTGAAATCAGCAGATAGAAGATCCCTCTGTCTCTCCTCTCTAAAATCTGCCTTTCAAATTCAAATAAATACATCATTTTTTTTTAATAAAGAGAAGAAAAAACTGGAAGACAGTGCAAGATAACTGGGTGGGCCTCCACACCCACTTGGGAGACCCAGCTGGAGTTCCAGCCTCCTAGCTTCCAGCCTAGCCCAGCCCTGCTCACTGTCACCACTGGGGAGGTGGAGGATCTCTTTTTCTGCCTCTCTTTCTGCCTTTCAAATAAATAGAATTTGAAAAATAGTTTTAATAATAATAATAAAAAAAAACTTCACTTGGGGTTCCTGTGCTGCAGGTGGAGAGGAAGAGTCCAGGGGAAGGAACCATAGGCTAGAGCTGCCCGGATGGGGTCGTGCACTTACCTGCCTGGCCTTCTGATAAATGACCCCAAATTTAAATGTGTTGTTGACGTCATGCTCATCATAGGACACGATCATCTGGGAGGCCTGGAAAAGGCGGGAAGCAAACCAGGTCAGCGCTGCTGCGGTTCAGGAGCACAAGCAATGCGGGGGGAGCATAACTGCTGGGGCGGAGACCCCAACACACACAGTGGAGGGGAGGGGGAATAACGTGAGATGGTCAGGACGCACCTCCAAGGGGCTCACGCTTCCACCACCCGGGCCTCCCCAACAGCACAACCCCTCAGCATCCATTCCACTCTTGCATTCCAGACATGTGAGCCATGCGTACACTCCTGAGTGGCCCAGCAGGACAAGGGCAGCTGACCTGGGCAAACAGAGCAGCCATACCCCAGGGGTCAGCCACCTGCCTCTGGTCCCACGTTCACCTCTGCCAAGCAGTGTTCATGCAGTTCTGGGGAGTTGCTGTTTCTGCCCAGACTGCAACCCGCATGTTCACAAAAGCCCATTGCACTAAGGAGCACCCCAACACCTGCTTCTCATTCTCTGGGACACTTGCTGGAATTGGAGTCTGGGGCTGGAAACCCCAAACTCCACCTGTGAGTCTCTTGCTTTTTCCCAGGCAGCTCTGAGATAGTGGCTTCCATTCCCTGGGACTGTCTCCTCATCCGTTCAATGGAGCTACATGGTCACAAGGATCCAGTGAGAGCAGGTTAAGAACATGCTTGGCACGGAGCAGCTGTCAGTAACATTGTCACTGAAATCCACACAACGTTCCAGAAAGGCCAGAGCTGAACCAGCGTGTGGGGAGAGAGAAGTTGTGGGTGCCATGCAACCATCCTCTCGGGAGACACAGGGACTTACTTGCAGAAGGGACCAGACAGGACTTACTAACTGGTCACATTGCCACCCACCACACAGGGAAAGGTACTAGGCCATGGCATCCTTCCCAGGAACAATGGTAGCTTTGCAGATTTTAAAAACACATGCATGGGGCCTGGCACAGTAGCCTAGCAGCTAATGTCCTGTCCTTGCACGCGCCGGAATCTGATATGGGCACCGGTTCTAATCCTGGCAGCCCCACTTTCCATCTAGCTCCCTGCTTGAGGTCTGGGAAAGCTGTCAAGTATGGCCCAAAGCCTTAGGACCCTGCACCCGTGTGAGTGAGAGACCCAGAAGAAGCTCCAGGCTCCTGGCTTCAGATTCACTGAGCTCCAGCCATTGCGGCTGTTTGGGGAGCGAATCAACAGACAGAAGATCTTCCTTTCTGTCTCTCCTCCTCTCTGTATATCTGACTTTCCAATATAAATAAATAAATAAATATTTAAAGGCACATGCATGCACCCTCGCCAGATGAGCATCCCAGCTGGACAACCCCGCCTGTCAGCTGTGGAAACCGTGAACACAGAGCTGCTCTTCCTGCAGTACCAGGGCTGGGTCCTTCCAGGTCCCGAGAGAAACACACAAATGAGCATGCCTGGGTGCTATCAGTGGACATGAGTGACCCCGGCTGGGGCAAACCTGCAGTTTCATCAATCCTTCAGCCTTCAGTGTGTGGTTAAGCCTCACTAATTCAGCAGGAACTATGAGGCAGGGAGGTCAGTGTGGATGACAGGGAATGTGCAGGGTAGAGGAGTGGATTACTGGGCAGAATGGACAGGTCTTCAACAGGTGTGGGGGTGGGCAGGGACCGCACAGGAGCAGCACCTGCAGGTGGGTTAGAGCTGCCTCTCAGATGGTCACACCCGGCCGTGATGCTAGCCACAATGAGTCATCATGGGTCTTGGCCAGGCCAGGGCTCTCTCTGCCCCACCAACACATTTTGTTCCTCAGTTCCTGGTTGCCAAAGTCAGGACTCAGAGCAAGCCCAGCAAACCCCAGCCATCCTCAGTTGCTATCCCCAACACTGGTCCCCGCCCCAAGTACAGGAGCACAGTTCAGCCACCATCCCCGCGCCCTGCTGACCCTGCGGCTCCCAGAGAGACAGACAGCACCCTCAGATTTCCTCCCGCAGTGAGCTGCACTGTTCATAGGTGATGGATGTGCTGTCTCCGCCTGATGGCTCTGGAGTGGACTTGTCCTTCCTGCTCCCCTCCCCAACCACTCTGCCAGATCAGAACGAGGGTCAAGTTCAGGTCAGTCCTAAGGAATCAGCTAGTTTGTAAACCAGATGCTGAGCAGGAATGTGGGCGATGTGGAGCTGAGGTCTGGCACCAGCAGCTTAAGGGGCATCAGTCCCTGGCCCCTCACCCGCTCCGTGGTGGGCTGGATCCGCACCTGCCATAGCTGCAGGCAGAATTTGCTGCACCAGCACTGGCCCCAGGGAGTGGCAGCTCCGGCACACCTCCCACTACCACCATCACAGCAGGCCAGAGACCCAGGTCAGACACACGGAGATCTACCACAGAGACTGCATAGGAGCCCACCGTGACACAGACAACCCCTCCCAGAGCCCAGATGTGTGCTGAGCTGCCGAGGATGGGAAGGGCTTTACCTTGGGGTACAGGACAGGGTTGAATTTCAGCCCCACTGCGTCGTCACAGAAGGCCTAGGCAGGGAGAGAACCAAAGGGTCAGGGCCATGATGCAGCACATGACCACAGAGCAGGCTCCCCCACCCACCACCCTGGAAATGCAGCATGGTGGGGGTCCTGGGTTGCAGCAGAAGACACCCAGGGCCCAGCACCTGGCTTCAGATTCTGTCCCTGCTGTTCGCACTCCTCTGCCCAGGGCACTCCGTGGGCCTTTCTGGGTTTCACGATAAAGTGAGGAGAGGGACAAGACAAAGCCTGAGACTTGGCTTCACTCTGACCTAAAGACAAAAAAAAAAAAAAAAAAACACCTCCCCAACCAACTCACCTTCCACCTCCCAGGTGCTCGGCACAGCTCAGCCAGCAACCCTGTTCCCATAGCACTAGGGTCCAACCCAACCCAATCTCAGGAATGACACAGTTCCTAAGCTCTCTGTGTCTTCAGGCAGTGACAGGGTCCCTCCACCTGCAGACAGCTCCTGACTTGAGGGGCTACTCAACTGGCTCAGAGCTCACCTTCTGGTCTTTCTTCCTTCCAGAAGGCTCTCTGGTCAACTGGTCGACCTCAGCCCCTCAGATTCTAACACTTCCTCACCTGGCCCTGTCTTTCCCATTTTCTTTGTCTCCTGCACTAGCAGAGACGAAGGATTATGTCATTTTCAGCAGCCTAGGCAGTAAGGGTGTGTAAGACAGGGTATAGAGACCCCTCTACCACCATCCCATCCATACAAACAAGAATCAAAGATTGTGGTTGCCTCACCCTGCCCAGGACAAGACTGTACCTCGTCCTCTGTGCAGGACAACCCTGGGCAGACCAGGAAGCTGCCAGCTCTCAGGATGGGCATTTTACCTTGGCGATCTGAGGGACGCTGGGTAGCTTGCTCAGTCCAGCCAAGGGGATCCGCTCATGCACTGTCTTCAGCTTGGACCTACACATGTGGACGGGAACACATTAGTGAAGAAGTTGGCTGAGATCACACAAGACAGGAGCACTCGCTTTGGGTCTCCCCAGCACCAGCCCATGTGCTGAGTGGGAGCCAGACCTACTTCCACACCCCCAGGGCCAGGGATATTTAAAGAAGGGGCCTAGATGAGGACTGCCCCCCAAAATACAGGCAATGCAGAAAGCCACCTTCAAGCTCAAGCTCACTGGGAGCTTTGGTTTTTCCACCACAAGTGTGCCATGTTCTCCCAAAGAACTCACTGGGCACCGTTTCTGAATACATTGGGGTTTCACTGGCAAATCGAGCCTTATAAGAAGAAAATCTAACATCTGAAAAATCTGGAATTCCTCCCAAAATAAACGAGACAGGATTGGCTTTATAAAGGATGCACCATGCGACTCTAAAATTAGCCTGTGCCCTGGTTCCCTGAGCACATTATGCAAGTGTGGGATTTTATTGAACATTTTCCTGCCTCTATGAGATCCTGGCTCCCAGTTCTGTGCCTGGGAAGTCAGAGCACTCAGCCCTGTGACGCCACGGCTAAAACCACACTTGCTTATGATGCATTGTTCTTAGTCGCCTATGAAATCTGTGGACATTTTACTCAGACTTCACATTCTCACTCAGATGCAATGCCGGCTTACTCTGTTTTTTTCTCTTTTGTGCTTCTCTGGCCAGGTTTGGGTACTGAGGTGTCATTCCAGCCCCTTTACAGCACTGGGGGACTTCTCAGAAGCAGCTCATCTGACACAGGGCTGCCGGGCCTCCCGGGTGCTGGTGGCACACGGTGGGGTTTTGGCCGGAGGACCTGACTCTCGGGTGGGGAACGCTTGGGCTTTCTCTGGTTCTTGTCTGCATCCGTCATGACAGACACACGGACGCGCTTTCCTGGAGTCCTCGTGGGACGCCTTCATCCCTGCTCCTGGCTGAGTCCCATTCTTCATCGTCGTAATGTTTCCTGCTATCTTTTGTCTGTTTGCCGGAGGAAGTTTTAGCAGAAGACACGTCAGTGTTGCCAGCCTTGCCACGGAGATGGCTTTGTTCAGCTGAGCACCTCCACGTGTTTCAATGTTTGCCCCCGTCTTCCCCAGCTCCTTCTCCAAACCTTAATGTGATTGCTTCCCTCCTTCCAGCTCCTTCAGGGGGTTCTCGGCTCTTCTTTTCCCCACGCCCGGACCTGCGTGCTCACCTACTCGCTTCTTCCTTCCAAGTGAATTTAGAGGTCTCTTTCTTCCTCGCTCGCTCTCTCCCACTTTCTCCGCATCCCACACGTTTTGAGAACTAGCAATTTCGGTGCTGTTAGGTTCTCAACATGTTATTTTTTTTGTAAGATTCTCATGAGTCCATGAGTTCATTAAAACGGCTTTTTATGTTTTCCAAACCTGAAGAGATTTCCTTTTCAGTATTTAAATTGTGGGTTTATAATTGTCTTGTATCCAGGGGTCATAATCGACGTGATATTATTTAAAATGCGTGTATTAAGTGGATGTTAATATTTAAATCACAATCCACGTGTTCTTAACCATGATGTGCTGCTTTCTTTTGTTGAGAGCAGGGATAGACGAAGTGACAATGTGAATTAGGAAAACACTATGCACAAATTTCAAACTTTTTAATTTTATTTCCAATACAATTGGAAAGGCAGATCAGAGAGAGACAGAGAAAAAGATCTTCCACCAAGGCTGAAGCTGAGCCAATCTGAAGCCAGGAACCAGGAGCCATTTCAGAGTCTCCCCCATGGGTGCAGGATCCCAAGGCTTTGGGCCATCCTTCTTTGCTTTCTCAGGCCACCGGCAGGAAGCTGAATAAGAAGTGGGGCAGCCAGGACTTGAATCGGCGCCCATATGGGATCCCGGCACTTACAGGGTAAGGATTTAGCCATTGAGTTATTGCTTCAGGCCTAGATTTCAAAGTTTCATTGCACCAAACTAAACTTACTTTCAATTCCATTTTCCTTGAACTTTGTGAAGGGTTAGAAGGTCAGATTTGTTATCTACATTCTCCGAATCCTCTGCATCCTCACCCTTGGTGTCTGTGTAGCTCTTCGCTTTCTAGGAGAGGTTCCCAAGGTCTCCTGCTAACAGGAGGCTGCTGCCTCTGCTGAAATTCAAGGCCATGTCGCCAAGTACGAGTTCACAACTGTTACAGCAAGGTGAATCACGCTCTTCCCAACGCGTGGTAGCTGAGGCCTCACAAGTCGCCCAGCAAAAGGCTTTTTTTTTTCTAGCCCAGATTCTAAACAAATTTAAAAAAACAACAAGCTCTTATGACTCAAATGACTGTTCCACTGCTGATAGCGATAAACTGGGACTAGATAACGCAATGTGAACTGTGAAGATAAAGTGCTTTCTTTCAACCAATCCCCAGAATTAACCCAACGTAGTTTTCTCTTTCTTCCTCCTCCTATCTTCCTCTTCTTAATTTGAGAGGCAGATTTTTATAGAGAGAGAACAGAGAGAGGGGTTTTCCATCCACTGATTCAGTCTCCAAATGGCCACACCAAGGCTAGGTCAGGCTGAAGCCCAGAGCCAGGGAGCTATCCTGGTTCCCGTGGCTGCAGGGGCCCGAGCCATCCTCTGCTGCTTTCTCAGGTGCATTAGCAGGGTGCTGGATTGGAAGCAGAGTGGCCATAACTCAACTCTGGTGCTCTGAAATGGGATGCAGCTATCCAAAGAGGCAGTTCGCACCACTACACCAACCTTGGAATGATTTTTCATCTATCATTTCATATTTTCTATCCCGTGTTTCCTTTCCTTTTTTGTTTTCTCCTTTCCTGCCTTCAGTTGAACACAGTTGCGAGCTCCTGTTTCGTTCACTATTATTCTTCTTCTTTTCATTTGGTTTGGGAGATTGAGATTGTATATCCAGAGACTGGCATCGTGCACAGTGGATTAAGTCTCTGCCTATGATACCAACATGCCGGAACTTGGTTCCAGTCGTGGCTGCTCTACTTTGGGTCCAGCTCCCTGCTAACACACCTGGGAAAGCAGTGGGGGATGGTCCAAGTGCTTGGGCCCCTGCCACCCACATGAGATGCTTGGATGTTGTTCCAGGATTCTGGCTTCAGCATTGCCCAGCTCTAGCTATTACAGCCATTTGGAGTGTGAACCAACAGACAGAAGACAGATATTCTCTCTCCCTCCCTCTCCTTCCATTTCTCCCTCTCTCTATCACTTTACCTTTGAAATAAATACATCAATGAAAAAAAAATATTGTATTTCTCTTTCAATAGACATTTATGCTTTTTCTCCCAACAAACTCAAATATTGGTAGCAGTCTCCCAAGATGGGTAAAACAGAAATAGTAAGGCATACTTTGCGCACTGAATCATTCCCCTGATCAGGAACTACGCTGCTTTTAGCTCAAACCTGCTCTTAAACATGCCAAAAATTACTTCCTTTCCAGTAAGTCATTAAATGTATCAGCATAATCTACCCATTGCCTCTTCCTTTTCAATCATAATTTCTTTCTGGATTCTCTTCTCTTCTGGCTGAAAAATACCATGCACTGACTCTCTCAGGGACAATCTGTGAGTGCCACACTCTCCCCTCATTAATTTTTTTCAACCTGGAAACCTTTATTTTGCCTTTATACACAGTTCTGGAGATGGAATGTTAGGTTCGTGGGAGGTTTCTTGCTTCCTTGCTGTCCTACTGGTTTCCAGCCCTTACTGAGATTCAGCCCAGAGGTCATGAACACACAAGTAACCTGATTTTCTCCAGTTTCTCAACAGTCTCTGCCATTGGATGCCTCACACAACATGTGTAGCAGTGCTGTCTGGTTTTAGAATTGTGCTTAGGGGCATGGGGTTAAATCCTCACCTCGCATGCGCCAGGTTCCCATATGGGCGCTGGTTCTAATCCGGTAGCCCCACTTCCCATCCAGCTCCCTACTTGAGGCCTGGGAAAGCAGTAGAGGATGGCCCAAAGCCTTGGGACCCTGCACCTACATGGGAAACCCAGAGTAAGCTCCTGGCTTCAGATCGGCTCAGCTCCAGCCACTGCAGCCACTTAGGGAATGAATCAGTAGATGGAAGATCTTTCTCTCTGTCCTTTATCTCTGCACATCTAATTTTCTAATAAAAATAAATAAATTTTTTTAATTGTGTTTAGCAGTATGGGGTGTGTGTGTGTCCAATTCTAACACACCCTCAGCTTTTATCGGGCAATATTTGTCCCCCAGTCTTTCCAGTTTTCCCTTTTGACTCCGGCGAGACAAAAGCTTCAGCCTCTCACTCAGTCACCCACAGATCTTACCTTCTTTCCAGACACTTAATCTCTTTATCTGTGTTGTGTTTCTGGATGAATTCCTTGGGACTGTCTTCCTATTCACAGACTCATGCTTTGACCAGACTAGCCTTTTATCCCCTGCGTTACATTTACTTCAACTACAATCTTTTTAGCATCCAATGATTCCAATAGTCTTTAACAGTTTTTCTTTTATACCCATGCATTCTTGATTCACAACTTATAGATGTCATCATCCTTAATCTCCTGAAGTTCTTACATACATTTACGTCATTTTTGGAGTGTACCAAAATGCATGATTTGCATTTCATCAACAGTGACTCCCTTCTCCCACTTGTTGACATTTTGATCACCTTTCTTAATGTCAGTTTCCACAGGTGTTTTGGAATTTTCCACCTACTCTTTTCTCTATTCTCAGCGCAAGCCACCGTGGTTCGGTTCCCATTGCAGCTGCCAGCTGGCCCAGGAGACTGCACGCTCACCGTTCTGCCTGGTTCGCCACCAGTAACCACCTCCTGGCAGGGCTCACCTTCCTGCTTCCGGCCTGGCCTTTCCTCCAAGCCATTCTCACTCTCTCCAGGGTGATGGTTCTTCAACACACATCTGAGCACAGCCTCCCGCAGACCTCCTGTGACTCGGACAACAAACCCAAGCCCTTGCACACCATCGGCACGTGGCCGGCCTTCTGGTCCTCGCTCCACATGTTGCCCACTCCTCTGAGTGCCTCCTTACCATCTGCCTCTGCAGCAGCTTCATGGACCCTCGATGAGCCATGTCCATTAGATGATGCAGTGTAAGTTTAACCACAGGAATAAGAACATCTGAACCAAGTAGCACGCTTTCTAGGGCCACAGAATGAGATGAGAGCTTCCTCCCCACCAGAGCCCTACCAAAAACTCCAGCATGTGTCAATCCTGCTGGAAAACACCTTGAATGAACAGATCTCCTAAAGTCAAGCAGCCCTGGGCTCTCTGGTGGCTGCGATAACTTGGGTTCCAGTTTCTGGAACTGCTATTTGTTTAGAACACTTACTTCTATATTCATGAGGATATCGGCCCTGAGTCCCCCCCACACTTTGGGGGATCTCATTAGCTTGTTCTTTTCATTTGGATGTTTTCAACATTTGTAAATACACCGGCAATTAGAATAGCAGCTACCAATCATCAGATTGACCAAAATCCAAGTGTTGAATAATACCTTCTATTGGAAGAGGGTTTGCAAAAAATCAGTACTCTCCAACACCACATGTGAAAGTTAAAGATGAGACAGTTCCACAACGGAGAGCCAGCCAGCCATCTCACCTCTGAGAAGCTGTCTGTCCACACAAAGCGACAGTTGGACAAGGTTATTCATTAAGCATTATTTGTGAGAGCAAAAAAATTGACACCTGTCATTAATAGGCAATAACATTTAGTTATCTTACATCCAGGCAATGCCACACTATCCAGCAGTACACACAATTAAGAAACTCCTTGTACACCAACAGGCAAAAATCTCTAACACAGTTTGCCAATGGAAGCAAGTCACAGAACAGCATATTCTATAGACTTCCACGGCCATAAGGAGGAAAGAGAATAGTTACATTATTTAAGCATTTTTTATATTTAGCTTTGTGTGTGAGAAAGTACATGTGTACTTGAGATGATCATGTTGGATCCCAGAATTAAGACTTCTGTTGTTTTTTTTGCTGCATTTTTCTTAACTTTGGTCTGTTAAGATGATTCTGATATAAGCAGGCAACCAAAACCCACTGACCTACTCTGCAGTCCATGTGGGTGAATATTCCACAGGCTCCTAAGCAGAGATCCATTAAAGCATGAAAATTTGATCGTTGGGTATAGAAATAGATACACACAAAGTTGAACAAGCATAATTGATACAAATATTGCTGAGATCATGCATACCTTCTCACTTTTTACCCTAGTCTTCATCTGTCAAGTGATGAAAAGTGTGCTAAGCTCCCCAAGAATTGCATTCTGGGGATTTCTGCACATTTTAATCATTACATACTGTGCATGAGAGTATATGTGTGTGGAATCCTATAATGGATAGTATTTAAAACAGTTCATAAGCCATCTTCCTTGTGAGCTTACACTTTTATGAAAGGACATTAACTCTCTTTATCATCATAATTACTTTATTGTCTTGAATCCTACTAAATTATTACTAATATTATTGCTAATATCATATTACTAAACCTCCATTATTTTTACACTTGCTTGTTATAACTTTTCTAAGCATTCCTTGTTTTTAAAGAATTATGTATTACTATCTACTCAAGAGATTTGTTTATTTGCTCATTTGAAAGGCAATGTTACAGAGAGATAAATTTCTTCCGGCCACTGGTTCACTCCCCAGATGGCTACAGCTGGGGCTGGGACAGGCCAAAACCAGGAGCTTCTTCCAGGTCTCCCACTCGGATGGCAGGGGTCTAAGAACTCGGGCCTTCCTCTGTTGCTTTCCCAGGTACCTTAGCATAGAAAAGAATTGGAAGTGAAGTGCCCATATAGGATATTAGTACTACAGATAGAAACTCAATGTGTTATGCCACAGTGCCATCCTCCCCACCCCCAAGTTACTTCATTAACAAAATACAAATAGAGAGGAGATGGGGAATCTACAAAAGAATACTTACGAGTAGAATTCAGAGGTCAGCATGGTGGCACCCAGGCTAATCCTCCACCTGCAACACCCCCTTCCCATAAAAGCATCAGTGTCCAAGCTGTTTCACTTCTATTTCAGCTCCCTGCTAACAACCTGGGAAAGCAGGGGAAGATGGCCCAGGGCCCTGAGTCCTGGCACCCACGTGGGTGACCCGGAAGAAGCTTCTGGCTCCTGGCTTTGGACCAGATCAATTCCTGCCTTTGTAGTTATTGGGGAGAATGAATTAGCAGGTGAAAGATTTCTCTCTCTCTTTCTCTAACTCAAGTGAAGTAAGTAAATCTTTAAAAAAATAAAATGGCTCATGTACATTTATTTTTATCACACACCTATTTGCACTTCTACCACGTGTCTGTTTATGATTCCTTTCATTTTTGTCTGTTTCTCTATGTGTGTGGAGGTACATTATTCCTTTGTCATTTGGAATGTTTACATCCTACCAGGGTCTGTGAACTGTCAAGTTTTCATCAGCTATGTCTACCCATCAATTTCTTCTCACTGATTTCTCATCACTGAGTGAACCTTTTCATTTGCAGGCTTAAGTCTTCAGTTAGCTTCAGCGTGGGCCCGGCACAATGGCCTAGCAGCTAAAGTCCTCACCTTGAATACACCAGGATCCCATATGGTCACTGGTTCTAATCCCGGCTGCCCCGCTTCCCATTCAGTTCCCTGCTTGTGGCCTGGGAAAGCAGTTAAGGACAGCCCAAAGCCTTGGGATCCTGCACCTGCGTGGAAGGTCTGGAAGAGCTCCTGGCTCCTGGCTTTGGATCAGCACAGCACCAGCCGTCACAGTCACTTGGGGAGCAAATCATCAGATGGAAGAAATTTGTCTTGCCTCCTCTCTATATATATCTGACTTTGCAATAAAAATAAGTAAATCTTAAAAAAAAAAAAAAGAAAGAACCTCAGCGTGCTTCATTCCTGCCCTCCACCCTCCATCATCTCATAATCTCACTCCGAGTTCTGTCTCCCTTCGAATTACGTGACCTCTCCGTGTCAACCTCAACTTTGCACAAAGTGGATTCTTCTCATAGCACTCGAATTCTTTTTGGACAGTTTCAGTTTTCTTATTTTGTCTGTCTTTTCTACCAAAGTGTTTATTTTTTCTAAAGGTTTGCTTAAAAACACACACACACACACACACACACATACACAAAGTTAGAAACCTGCATAGTGATATGACAGGTTAAGCCATTGCTTGCAATGCCACAAGCATCCCGTATCTGTGCTAGTCCCAGCCACTGCACTTCCAAACCAACTCCCTCTTAAGGCAGATGGAAAAACAGCAGAGGATGGCCTAAGTGTGTCTGCCCTCCCACTCTTGTGAGAAGCCTGGATGGATTTCCTGGCCCAGCCCTGGTCATCATAACCATTGGCAAAGTGCACCAGCAGATGGAAGATCTATCCCTCTCTCTCTCTCTTTCTCTCTCTCAAATAAATGAACTATATCTTTAAGGAAAAGAAAAATCACAAAGTTAGTGAATATTTCAATTTGACCTGAATTTCTATAGTAAATCCTATTCAAAATTTTGTGGGTTTTTTTTCTACTTAACTGATTGTTTTTTAGATGTGAAAATTTTCTTTCACAGACATGTGAGGTTTTTTTTTTTTTTCTTCTTTGTATCCAAACTTCAAAAGGAGCTATCTACTCCAACTTGCTATTTGTGGGTGAGTTCTTGGCTACCCCCACAGCCCACACAGCGGCTGCTGGAATCCTCTTCTCAGATCTGGGGCTGGAGAGCTGCTGGTTAGACATGTGTGACTTCAATGAGACAACCCAGAAGTTCACTGGGAATGAGGAAGAAGCAGGATCTGGAGCCGCTGCCAGCGGAGGAATTTTGTCTCAGGATAATTCCTTCTTTGTGTCTGGTCAAGCTGCTAAGCCAGCCAGGGAGCCAGCTTTTCATGCCTGCCTTCCCAGTGTGGCTTGGCAACTGCTCCAAGTACACGATGGGCCTGTCCGGTCTCCCACTGGCCGATGGCTCCTCTCCATCACCCACCTACCCACTGGCTCTCCATGAGGACAGCCACAGCTGAGTGTGCCCTAGGTCTCCCGGGGCAGGGATTTCCAAACAACAAAAGTGGTTCTAGAAAGAAAGACCACCTGCCACTCCAGAAGCTCCAGTTTCATAAACTCCCCCCACACCATCTTGCTTTCTTAAGAGGAACTGGAATTCAACTCTAAGGTAAACCTCACTGCCCCATAAACTACCCCACTTCTCTTCCCCCTCCAAAAAAAAAAAAAATCGGCACATGTTGCATGCCCAGCTTCCCGCTGTGGTGCGGCATTCCAAATCAATCACAAAATTAGAAAAAAGCAGCTTCCATCCTTATGTCCAGAAATCCCTCCCAATCCCAGTCTGACAGTTATTAGGAAAGAAACCAATTTTCTTTTACAGGCTTACCTCGCTAGAAAAGTCTGTTTGGAGATGGGAATCTAAGTATTACCTCCTGGGAAAATTGGCTCCAGCTACTGAATTGACTCCTCTGTGCCTTGTAAATATGATCTCTATCCAGGAGAGCTGCTGTAAAGAAAATTGCTCTCCTGCTTAATAAGAAGCAAAGTGAGACTGGATGTACACCGACCACAGTTCCAGCCCTCTTCATCCATCCTGAGGGAGGATACTGGAACTTTCTGTTCCCTCACATTTTTATAGCCCTCCCACTAAAATATATATATATATTAACATAATATATATATATATTGCTCCTTTCCCCAGATCTCTTCGAAAATGTCTCGTGAGATCCAATAAACCCAAACAGAGCATGACAGGATCCCAAGGCTCCACTAAGCACCTGAACTTGACTTTCTTCCTTGCCTTCTTCGCCACCAGGGCCAGCAATAGTTCAGCCATAAATCCTTTGCGCTCCTGTGCCTATCACCGAAACAACCCTGGTGACACATTTTACAATTCTCCGTTTTCCTCTCTCAGTCAAGCAGAAGAAGCCGTCAGAGAACCAAGACCAACTTTCAGCCACCACTGGCTCCTCAGCACCTGTCACTGCTCCGGGTACGAAGGACATTTGGCAACAGTGCGGGAGTTGAACCAAAGAGAAAGGAGTTCCAGTTCCTGCCATCAAAGAGATCACTATCCAGGAAGGGGGTTCGGCTCTCCACCAGCGCTCCCACTGTGCACCTCGCCCCGTCCCAGGCACACGCCAGCTGCCTTGCGCTCCACCTTCTCTGGGTTGCTGCACTGATGCTACCAGGTACATGTTGGCAAGCCCTCCCCCAGAACATGCAGGCCTGTCTTAGCTTCATGAGCCATGTCCTCGCATTTTGGAAGCCATGGTGCCTTGCAAGACACAGAGAAAGGCAGGGGAGTCAAGGCTTGGTAATCTTGAGAACAGGATGCCATTTTTGGTCGGCTAGCAACCACAACTGGGTCTCCCAGCCTAGCCACATCAGACACAGCCCCGGGACTCCGGCAGGCCTGTCCCCTCTAACACACCCAGATCAGACTTGTCGGACTGGTCCTTCTGCCACCGCCAGCCCCACCTGGAAGAAGCATGGCCTCCCCGTACTGCAGCCCCACCTGAGAATGATGCGAAGGTACTCCATCCCCTCTGCCTCCTCGCACTTGATGGATAGGATGAGGTTCCCCAGGTTGCTGCCTGTGCAGTAGAAGTTCAGGTGATCCTGCAAACCGAAATTAGGGGTGAAGAGGAAGGAGGAGGAGGTCCTCCAGATGTGACCCCCTCTCCTCCACCCACCTTCCTCACCAGGAGAGAAAAGCCCCAACAGTGACATGACCGCTTGCAGTGGCAGCCACCGAGGCCTCAGGCATCATGCTAGGGGCTTAGGATACAAAGACCTCCCTTCATGTGGTTCCGTGCCTAGCACTCCACAAATAAAATTGCCTAGGGTCGCACACCCAGCAAGGGGCAGCTCCAGGCTCAAGCCCCCATCCACCTTGACTTCAGAGCATGAGTCCTTCTTGAGCTCACCTTTCCCAGGGAGTAGCCCCTGGCATTTCAAAGGGCTTCTGAGAGTACAGCGGCCCTGCCACAGGAGGAGCAGCCCTGTGACAGGATTGCATGAGGTCCCGCACCTCATTTTAGCCAAGAGCCAAAAACGCAGCCTCCTGGGGTCCACCCTGACCTGAGGATGCAGCATGGGCTCTGCAGTCTGGGATCTGACCAAGATCCCAGAGGGTTTGGGTGGTGCCGTCTCCTTAGGATACTCCTGCAGAGTTCCAGAAGTGCTCCAGAGGTCTGGCAAAGCTGAAGCTCACTGTTACTTTTAAGCCAGCAAAGACTCACAGCACTTCCCCTGGGCTGAGGACCTGCCACATCTCAGGCTGTGAGGGACCGACTTTGCTTGAGCGGTTAAAACTCCACCCACCCTCCTCATCGCAGACACAAGCCTGTAGGTAACCTCCCTAAAACACAGGCTGGGGCAGGGCCGGCGGAGGCCCCCACTGGGATCCATCACACGGAGCCTCTTGCTTCCCTACAGCTCCTGTGCGCCAGGACAGACACATTCGCCCTCCTCCATGGCTACAACAGAGGCAGAAGGCAAGCAAAGCTAACAGAGGGGAAGATGCCTGCTGCGCCCCCTCCCCTCCCAGGTCCCAATGCCCGGGCCTCACCTTTCCCAGGAAGTGCCTGCGGTAGGCCCTGGCTTCACCTCTGCACTCGAGCTTGTAGCCAAAGGCATTGGGGCTGAGGCTGTCCTCCTCATCCTCCTCGCAGGTGCTGCTGCCCAGGGAGGTCGGGGTGCCCAGATTCTCTGGGTCCTCGATCCAGTAGCCCCCAAACTGGGGCAGGATGATCAGCGGGTACGGGCCTCCCTTCTCCACAACCTGGAGGCAGAGGGAGAGACCCGGCCTGCAACCTGACCTGGGAAACAAAGCTGGGGGTGGGGAGGCAGAGGCCAGCTGTGGGGGTCCCCACTCAAAAAGCTGGGTGCTTGAGGCTAGCATCAGGGATAAGAGCCCCTCTATATCTCTGTGGAAAACCCTGCAGGGTCTGGATAGACACACACTCCCATGTACACCGCCCCCCGCCCCATTTCAACACTGGAAAAGCTGCAATCATGGCGGCAGAGACAGGAAGAGGCCTCAGGTTCCCCAACATGGGTCTGGGCAGGGCCCTGTCCAACCTCACAGCCTCCATTGCCTTCCAGGACCCAGGGCAGAAAGCGGGAGCTCCTACCTCGTCGATGCTGGGGTATGGGATGTAGTCATCCTGCAAGACAAACCAGAAGTCACCCCCATGAGTGCCAGCAGCTCCCAGAGAGTCTGACCACTGTTGGCACACCCCCACCCAGCCTGGGGTAGAGTGCACTGACCGGTCTGGCTGTGGGGGACACATCAGGTGGAAGAACAGCCTGGAGGCAGCTCTGGGACCTGACATCCACTGAGTTCTGAGCTCTTCTTGCTCCAAAATCTCTTTTGGACAGGACCCAGGCAGTGACCTGGCAGTCACCCCTGTCTCACCCAGCACCCTGACCTCCCCATGAACTTGACCTTGAGAGCAGAACCTGAAGTTGAGAGCCTGTTACCCCCAGACACAGGTCAAGTACATGTGCAGGGCAAGATGGGAGGAGCCGGGCCAAGCTACCAAGCCTTGGGTCTCACCCATCTGGCCTGCTCAGCAGCTGCCCAAACAGCACCAAGCCAGAGTCCCTTAAGGTGCAGTCACCAAAAGGCTCTTGGTAATAATAATAATAATAACAACAACAACAACAGATAGGTGTTTAAGCCCAGTGGTTGGCGTGTCCATATCCAACATGGGAGCACTTGGGTCCAGTCCTTGGCTTTAGCTTCCTGCTAATGCAGACCCTGGCAGGTAACAGGCAGTTGCCTGCCAATCATGTGGGAGACCCAGACTGAGTTCTGGCTCCTGGATTTGGCCAAACCTAGCCCTGCCTGGCCACTGTGGGCATTTAAGGAGTGAAGCAGTGGATAAGAAGGTTCTTTTGGGCTCTCGTAAGAAAGAAGACCCCACCTTAGCATGCTGGCAGCCCCTCCACCCTTCCTGCCTTCCTCTCACCAGACGCTGCCCACCCCCATCCCGACCCCTGGCCTCCATCCACCCAGCCAGCCCACCTTATTCTTCTGGGGTCCCGGCTTCTGCTCCTCAAGCTTGATCCCCTGTAGAGACAAGGAGAAGAGGACCATAGGAGAGGCCAAGGCCATCCAAAGGGGCCCATGGTGGCACGAGCTGCCAGCCTGGCCTTGCTGACTGGACCAGGAACAATCCCAGCAATGGCAGCTGGCATCAGCCAGGCCACACCTTGCTGCCATCTGTCTGTCAGTTGCCAGTCCAAGACTGAACATCCAAGCAGCTGGGTGGGTTAGCAGCCATAGCACTAGAGCTCAGCTCTCCAACCGTGCCACGTACCAGCCCTATGATCTTAGGAAAGTCTCAGAAACCTCTAATGAGGCCACGTGCTCATCTGTAAAGTGGACACAAGGCTAAGTGTTGACGATGCTGATGGGCACACATGACAGGCGTGATGGGTAATCACTCTCGAGTACAACGGTCCTCTTGGAGCCTTCCTGTCTTCCACAGGGCCACAGAGCCAGCAGGCTAGGGAAAGACTCAGATCGTTCTGTCACAGCCAGCACTGGGGACCAAGGCCTTTGAACTCCGTCCTCTCCCAGCGTGAGGGGATAGGCCTGGTCCTCACTACACTACAAGCCTCCTTGTGGCGACCTTTAAGATCTTGGAGCCTCCGATGCTGTACCCATCCAGGAGGACTTGAGTACCCACCTCCCATCTCATGGAGCCTGGGGTCAGACACAGCCCCTGGGGCTCAACTACAGGCACAAGCAAGAGTATTCGTTATCCAGCAGCTCTACAGACGGACTCTGCCTGACCTAGGGGGGTGGAAGGAGGTCAGAGATCTTGTTTGCATCAATCAGGCGAAGCTGAGAGAAGCAGCTCCTGTTGCAGAGGGAAACCCAGAAACAGTTGCTGCCTGATTATAACCCAAAGGACTTCCCACTGAGGCCCCAAGAGTCTCCTCCAAAGCTCATGGCACCTTCTCACCAGCAAGGACAATGAAACCCCCAGGAGGAAGGCGTGTGCCTAAGTCACACGGCAAAGGAGCAGCAGGACCTTAGATATGAATCCGGTCACCGCCTACACTGCCTGGTCCCTGGGACCCCTGCCAACAGCTGGGACTGGACACAGCTTCTCTGGAGTTAGCCCGCAGCATCATCCAGAGGGCATGGGAGGGCCCCTCTCCTCGCCCCAACAACAGGTGCTTCTCTCACACCCAGAGGAAGTACCTGGGTGGCCTGGCCAAGTGGGTGGGTGGAGAGGGTCTGATATCAGGAGTTTGTTTTGGGTGTCCTGCGTGAGTCACCCCTGACTGGAACAGCCTCTGAGGCAGAAGAGTAAACGCCATCTCTCCGCCTCCCCCTACACACACACAGCTTCTGCTGGCTCTGCGCCCTCTCCCTTCCTCCTGGGCAACAGGTATCACCACCCTTCTCTCTTCTGCCCCCAGAAAAAACTGAGGCTCAGACCACCCTGGGTGGCCCGGAACCCAGCCTCGTGGGGTCCCTCTTGTTCCATAAGGAGTATGTGCCCTTCTTCCAACTCCCAGATGCCTGAGCTGCGCCTGCCCACACCACACAGCCCTTCCTCCCCACAGGTCTCCACCATGGAAGCTGCCAGGATCCAGAGCCCTGTAAACAGAGGGTAGGGTCCTTGGCACTGGCAAGGCTAGCTTTTCCTGGGATGGCATCGGCAAATCACACGGGTGTTGGGAGACACGGGTGGAGTGACAGCAAGACCTGAGCCCTAGGGAGGCTCCCCATCAGGGTGAGAAGACAATCCCACAGCCTCCAAGTAGCAGAATGCACAAGACTGAGGCCAGACACCAAGGCCTTGAGGAGGAGAGGGAGAGACCAGGAGAGCCGCAAAGACCCCGCAAATGCCAGGACTGTGGAGGAGAGCCCCGGCTGTGCCCTAAGCACTGAGCACTTAATGCTATCCTATTGCCTGCCCCTCCCTGTCCCAGCAACGGTCAGCCTCAGTGGGGCAGCAGGGTTCCTCAGTGCGTGTAGGATGCACTAGGGCCCACACCCCGCCGGGCATGGCAGCAGCTTGTGGTAGTGACACCATCGCTGGAGCATCTGTTCCTGATGCAGCCCCCACCCTCAGGAGATCCATCTCAGCTCTGCCAGGAGTGGCCCCAGTCCCTGGAGCTCCCAGATGATTATTGTATGAACTCCCTCCTCCCCTGAGCCGAGAGCAGCCACTTAGGATGACGGTATCCCGACGCCATAGCCCTGAAGTGGCTGTCTAGCCATTCACTCTTGAGTGTTTTTACTTCCTGGCTTTGTGCCTCAGTATTCTCTCACCTATCTGCCTTACTTCTAAGAGGATAAAAACAAAGACACCTGTCAATCTCCAAGCCCAGAGGAGTGCTGGGAAGAACGACAAGTCCGTGAGAAAATGTGTTTGCATTTCAGTACAAAAAGCTAAAGGCTCACCAATGCCAGTAAAGGTACAAGGCGCCACCTTGAGCATCCCTGAGGCCCTGTGGCTGGGGCCATTTTTTTCAGGCAGTGACCCCATGGGTGGTCCACACATCTCAACGCAGGTTGGCCAGGAGCCTGCTGTTGAGGTGCTACCGTTACGCTCCAACTCCTCCCACCATGTCCCTTAGGCTTTCTGGCACCCTGCACAGGTTTCCCGGGGCTGCATCTCTCACCTGCGAGCCCTGCCCCGCGGTTTGCGCAGGCATCTGTTCCAGGATTGCCCTGGGACACATAACCTTCGGACATTCAAGATTCTTGTAGAAAATGGTAGTCTTTACGTGTACCCTATGATCCTCCCACATGCTTTCATCCTCTCCACATTATTTATAATACCTGGCATACTATGAATGCTGTGCAAAGAGTTGTTACAACGTATTGTTTAGGGAAGGATAAAGAAACAAAGTCCAGAGGGTGTCTAGTATCATGGCTGCTCTGCTGCGGAAGCCCCGCTTTGGCTCTTCCTCTCGCTTTTCTGGGCAGCCTTCCCCCAGGTGCTGCTTTGGGGGCTCAGCGGTGCCATGGCCAGTCTCAGGTGAACCAGGCCCACAACAGCAGCTAGCACTAAGAGCCCAAGGACCAGGGATGTGGCAGCTCTTGCCTTTGGGTGTGCTCACCTGCATTTTCTCCAGCATCTCGAAGAACTCAGCCGACTGAAAGACATAAAAAGGGGTGGGGAGAGAAGCAGACATCAGCCAGGAGGTCCTGCCCACACACACACACACACACACACACACACACACACCAACCCTTCACTGCCTGGAAGCTAGGGGGTGAGGGAGAGGCTTCCCCAGGGACAGCATTCATTTGCATCAAGAGACAGAGCATTGGCTTTTGTCTCTGCTGGACTCTAGGGCCAGAGCACTTCACACCACACAAGCAAAAATGAAACAGATGTGGGCTTGCACGTAAGCCCTGAGGACAGCAGCCCTTTCGTGGCTGTCCAGAGAGACTGTGGCCACCAAGGTCTCCCCAAAGATTTCCAGTCAGATTTGTTATTTGCGAAGTTTTCACCCCCATGGGGGCCAAGAGGTCCAGACGCCTGGGTAGTCAGTCTCCAGCTGCTGCAGCCACACAGCCCTCCACCCCCACCTCGGAAACGTAACTCAGAAGCCAAAGCAGTAGCAAGGAAGGCAGAGCCATGGCTGCAGCACTGCCACCTCTGCCCTTTCCCCTGCACCCCCAGGATACATGGGAGTCTAGAGCTAACGAAGCCTGAAAAACACTCAGTGGAGCCACCAGGGCCCAGGTGCATTATTTTAAAAACCTCCAACTGGAGTCAGGGGTTCAGCCTAGTGGTTAAGACACCACCAGCTGGGGGGCTGGCACAGTAGCCTAGCGGCTAGAGTCCTTGCCTTGCATGCAGCGGGATCCTGTATGGGTGCTAGTTAGTGTCCTGGATGCTCCACCTCCCATCCAGCTCCCTGCTTGTGGTCTGGGAAAGCAGTCGAGGACGGCCCAAAGCCTTGGGGCTCTGCATCCACATGGGAGACCCAGAAGAAGCTCCTGGCTTCAGATTAGTTCAGCTCTGGCCCTTGCGGCCACTTGGGAAGTGAGCCTACAGATGGAAGATCTTTCTGAATCCTTTTCTCTCTGTATAGCTGATTTTTCCAACAAAAGTAATTAAGTCTTAAAAAAAAAAAAAAAGAGCCAGCTGGGACGGCCCTCCAAAGTCCCCAGGCCCCTTCCCATGGTACTCCCTGTACTAACATCGCTGCTCATGTCTGCCCAGACCAGGCAGGCCTCAGGTGAACTTACAAAGAAGGAAGAGCAGCAATGGGTGGGGACACATCCCTACTGATTCTTCCTGCATATGCAAGGCCCACCCCATCTCCAAACACTCTCCAGCCCTCTGCAGGCACCAGGGGGCCAGGACCGTCTGAGGCCCCCACTGCTCTCAGAATTCTTCCAGAGAGACCCTAAGAAGTCACCTGGAGGGATTCATTTCTATTGCAGACCCTGAACAGCCTCTCTCAGGCCAAAGCTGACAGTCCTGCAAGGCAGCCAACAATGGCTCAAGTAGCTGGATTCCACATGGCATCCACATGGCAGAGTATGGAAATCCCAAGTGTGAAGGTATGGGATGGACTTGGAATTCATACAACCCCCTTGACCCTCCTCCCTCCAGCCAGAAACAGCCACCTAACACTCAGACCCCAAATTGCCCTTCCCACCCATTTGCTCAGGGCAGAAGTGGACGGTCCACACTTTGCTTTCTAGCCAATCCAAAAATCTGAGACTGGCAGACAGGAGCAGCCCCACAGGTCAGCCTGGACAACAGCAGCAACAACGAACCCTTTAAAGATGCAGACATCAGACCCAGTAGTTCCTCTCCTAGAAACCCAACCCCTAACACACCAACACACATGCTTGGAGACTCTACGAGAGACACGGCTCAAGGCTGCACTGCCTATGTTAGTAACAAGAGTAAATGCTAAACTATGGGAAACAGGTCAGATTCAGTTACAGACACAGAGTCGTATACAAATACGATAAACATCAGGATGTTAGTAAATCAATAACTTGGATGAAATGGACAGATTCCTAGAAAGCTGCAAATGACCAAAACTGACTCAAAAAGAAACAGAAACTCTAAGAAGACATAACTTGCCAACACATTGAACTAGTGATCAAAAAACTACCCACAAAGAGGTAGACCAGACGGTTTCATTCCTAAGTTTTCCCAAATACTTTAAAGAACTAATACTAATTTCTCACTTATTCTCAATTACGTGAAAAAGACAGCCCAGAGACTGGGAGGAAATGTTCACAACTGATAGATCTGATAAAGGACCTACACCGTGTGTGTGTGTGTGTGTGTGTGTGTGTGTGTGCGCATGCATATACATGTTACATACACACATATATATGCTTTAAGTAATAAAACAAATAAATTATAAAATGAACAAATAATCTGAATACATATTTCCCAGAGAAGATATACAAATGAACAACAAGCATATGAAAATATAGTCAACATCATTCATCACCAGACAATGCAGATTAAAACCACAACCAGATACTAGTCATACCTCACAAATCAAACAATAGAAAACAGCAAATGTTGACAAGGCTGTGGAGTAACTGGAGGCCTCATAGGTTGTTGGTAGGAATCTCAAACAGAGCAGCTGTTGTGAAAAATAATTTGGCGGATCCTCTAAAAGTTAAACATAGGCGCAGTCACTTGGAATGGTCACATACCACATGGGAGGAAGTGGGGCCCATATCCAGCTCTGACTCCCACCTCCAGAGACCTGTGAATGCAGGCTCGGTGAGGAGGCAGGGATGGCCCAAGTGGGAAGTCTACATTGCAGCCCCCTGCTCCTGGCATGGCCCCACAGCCCAGTCTTGGCCATTGAGAACACTGAGCAATGATCCAGAAGATAGGAGCTGTCTCACTTTCTCTATCTTTGCCTTTCAAATAAATAAACACAATGTTAACATCTCTGAGTCTGAAATGCATTCTTGTGGATCTACCCCCAAGAACTGAAAACAGTGCACCCACGTTCATCCCAGCACTGTCCATGCTTGCCAAAGAGTGAAAACAACCCGTGTGACCGTCAGTTAAGTGTATCCTGTCACACAATGGGCTAACACTGACAGAGACAAATGTCATACTGAAGCACGCTACAACCTAGCACAACCCTGAAGACATGACACTACGTGAAAGCAGTAGCAGGAGAGACCACACACATCACACGTTTCCATTTCCATGTAGTGTCCATTAGGAGCAAATTCACAGAGATAACAAGTAGACTAGTGGTTGCCTAGGGTTCAGGGGATTGCAGGAGGATGAGAGCTCAGAGGCACTGGGTTCCTTTCTGAGGCGATGACAATGTTCTAAAATGGGCTGTGGTGACAGTCGCTCGGTTCTGTGAATAGACCAAAAAACCACCGAGTTGTCCACTGTAAATGGGTGGCATATGGTATGTAAATTTCATCTCAGTAAAGCTGCTCAGAAAAACCATGCACCCATTCAAAAAGGAAGCAAGAGACATGTACTGTTACCTAAGATGTTTTCCAAGACGTACCCGGCTGGAAAGAGCAGCAAATCAGAGAACATGGGAGTGTGATCATCCCACTCTTATTTAAAAAAACAATTAAAAACAAAATCTCAAGTTGCATCTGTATATGGAAATGGTCTGGGAGGATTACCTCAAGTGATTCCATGGAGAAAGGAAGATGAGAGTGGAGAAGGAAGGGCTTGATATGTGGCTTCATGCACCAGAATGTAGACCCTTGCTACTTAATACATAAACTTTAAATCAACAAGTTCCATAAAGGTAGCTGAAAAAATGAGCAATGAATGGTTGAAGGAGAAACACACAATGACCAACCAACATGGCAACTTGCCCAATCCCACTACTTATTTAGAAAATGAAGATGGAAAGATAATATCTTTCATCTATCAGATTGGCCGGGTTGACAATGACATAGGAACTGTAGGTCAGCTCACACCTGGTCTAACCCTTTCAAAACAACTCGGCACTATGCGTCCCAAGCACCCTGCAGTCTAATGGCCTCACTCAAAGCATGCTTTCCTAAAGCAATATCAGAGCAACCGCACAAGGACATACACACAAGGGTGCTGCCACGGCATGATCGGAAGAGAAGTTAGTACCTCGTAGCGATGCTAACAACAACACACAGGAATATCCTCACATAAGAAAACATGACAAGACACTTGTGCAAATCATGCTGAAAGATTCACAGCAAGGAGCCAGTGCAGCAAGCTAATCCTCCACCTGCAAGCGCCAGCATCCCACATGGGCTCCAATTCGTGTCCCAGCTGCTCCACTTCTGATCCAGCTCCCTGCTTATAGTCAGCAAAAGCAGTGAAGGATAACTCAAGTCCTTGGGCACCTGCACTGGTGTGGGAGACTCAGAGCAAGCTCCTAGCACCTGGTTTTGAACTGGCTCAACTCCAGCTGTTGCAGCCATTTGGGGAGTGAACCAACAAACGGAAGATCTTCCTGCTCTCTCTTGTCTCTCCTTCGCTGTAAACACTGCCTTTGAAATTAATTAATTAAGTAAAATATTCATAGCAATCATTAAGTGAGAAAGGGTGTAGAATGAGGGAATTCCACTACTTTCAATTCTATGTGGAAAACCTGGAGTGTTTGTGTCTGTCTGTCTGTGTGTTTATTCTGTATACAGGTACACTTATCATCATTCATCTTAAACATACCAAAAAGAAGTAGAGGTAAGGATGGTTTTATTTTTCTTCCTTTTGCCTTGTTGGTATTTTTAGACATCTCTACAACAATTACAACTATTTTTACAACTAATCAATGTGTTTCAGATATTGACACCTGGATGGAGGTTTTGGCAGGCCTACGTTTGCTTCCCCACTCTGGCCACAAGTTCTCCCGCGGCTTCATGGCAAGGCGAATGCCAAAGTGCAGGCACGCAGCCTGCCGGGCCTGTGACAATGCTGGGAACCAGGCCAGCTCATCCCCAAGCACGTCAGCTCTGTGGAGACTAAGCAGCTTTCCTAAATCACCCCCAAACCCAGCTCACTCCCTGTCATCCACGTAAGCTAGCAAAGACCCTGAAGAGAGTGGTCTGTAAATGTGCCAGGATTGCTAACAGGACAGCCTAACCAGACAATGCCCGTGTTAACTGGTCCAACAGTTAACCCCAATGGATTAAA